TATAATGTCACCTTCCAGACCAGCAGTAACCAGTCAAGAGAGACTGGAGGCCAAGAAAATCATGCCTACCTTCTTCTCCTGCGTCACAGCGTACTCCACTATCTCAGTTCCATTTTCGTTGTGATAAACCAAATCAAATTTCCCAGGTTCTTTCATGGCTGAAACCAAATTATAGAAAGGAGAGACAACAGGTCATTTCTTAATAGTGAAAATGGTGCTCAAGAGAGAATTTATATCATTATAAAACAGCCATAAATTGCCCATTGATTTTCACAGGATTTGAAATTTTCAAATTCTTTTCAAGAAGACTCACCAGGTAAGGATGAAAGAATTTCTATATCTACTTGCTGGGTCTCTGGATTGTGGCTTAATATTTTTCCTTCCTTTTGAAATAAAAGTCCAAATCAAAATCAACAAGTAAAATATAATTAACTAAAACCACTGAATTGTATGTACACTAAAATAGTTAAAATGATGACTTTTACATTATGTGAATTTTATCTCAATCTTAAAAATTTAAAAATAAATATATCAACAAAGAGAGGAAATAAAACTACCAAATACCAAGTCAAAATGTCCCCTGGTCTAAATCATCCCAGTGTTAGGTACCATATAATTAAGGACAGCTCATATACCCCAAAGTCAGCTATGTATTCAAACTAACCAGTCCTAAGCTACTCCGCCCACCTTGCCTTCCCTAGCCTGTGGAATTCCAATAAATGCTCTGGCCTAGGTATTCTTCTCACTCTGTCTTCTGCCTCCTACCACATCTGGGTGATGTGCTCTGCCACCCTGCATGGGTTGGCATTCCCCTCCTCTCAAGAAATACAAGTAATAAATTCTTTCAATGGCACTGACTTCTCTGTGTCATCACTCAGTCACCTCCAAAAATTAAAATCTCAAGGGTACAAATGGGACAAGGTCAGAGGCCAAGAACTATATTCTTTGAATGCAGATATAATTTCTGAGGACAAGTCTAATGAATAAAGCAAGTGATCAACTTGGATAACATTATTTGAGATCAAAGCAGATTTTCACACTTGAAATGTTTTGGGTTTTTTTTTAAGATTTATTTTATTTATGCATACAAGAACTGGGGTACAGGCCAGAGGTGTGGGGGGTGATTCACCAGAGACAGAGTGGGGAGCAGAACAGGCAGACTGACTGAAACACACTGCTAAAGGGAGCAGTGGGCGAGTCAGGAGAGGTCTACTATGCCATGTGGGTTCCCTCCCTGGCCAGGGATTGAACTCGTGTTGCAGTGGCTGCGGATAGCTTCGTAGTGTCGTGTCTTAACCCCTTGCGCCACCTGGGAGGCCCCACTCTTGAAATGTTTTTAAAAGCAATTTCAAAAAAAAGTTCTTAAAATGTCAGGAAATAAAGCAAGCAAGGTAAAGCTTTTCAAGGTAATATGATGAACAACATCCATTTAAATTTTTTTTTAAAGATTTATTAATTTATGCATACAAGAGCTGGGGTGCAGGCCAGATATATGGAGGGGTGAGAGGATTCACCAGAGACAGAGTGGGGAGCAGAACAGGAGGATCTACTTGCCAGGGAGTAGCCGGCAAGACAGGAGAGGTCTGCTGTGCCATGTGGGTGGACTCCCTGGCTGGGGATTGAACTCATGCCACAATGGCTGGCAATAGCTTGATAGCGCTGAGACTTAACCCCTGCACCACCAGGGAGACCCACAATATCCATTTAAGATGCATTTAAGGGCCTCCCTGGTGGCACAAGGGGTTAAGCACCACACTATGAAGCAATTCATAGCCTCTGTAGCACAAGTTCAATCCCTAGCAGGCCAGGGAGAAACCCACATGACGAGGCAGACCTCTCCAGTCTCGCCCGCTGCTCCCCTCAGCAGTGTATTTCAGTCACTCTACCTGTTCTGTTCCCCACTCTGTCTCTGGTGAATCCTCTCACCCCCGCATCTCTGACCTGTGCCTTGTCTTAGGCAAACCATAATGCATAAATAAATAAATCTTTAAAAAAAAAAAAAGATGCATTTAAAAAGCCAGTATCAGAACTCCCTGGTGGCACAAGGGGTTAAGCACCCCACTATGAAGCAATCCGCAGCCTCTGCAGCACAAGTTCAATCCCCAGCCGGCCAGGGAGCAACCCACATGGCACAGCAGACTCTCCTGACTCGCCCGCCCACTGTTCCCCTCAGCAGTGTATTTCTGTTAGTCGCCTCTTCTGCTCCCCACTCTGTCGCTGGTGGATCCTCTCACCACGCACCCCCCATCTCTGGCCTGTACCCCAGCTCTTGTATGCATAAATAAATAAATCTTTTAAAAAAATAAATAAAAGTCCACTAGTGATTCCTCATTTTAATCATTAAAAAAAAAAAAAAAAAGCCAGTATCATCTAGAATCACAATCCATAGAGGTTATGGGACATTTTATACTTATCACCATTTCCTCATATATGACATAATTAGTTTTCTATGTTTGAGTGACAAAGCATTCTGGTTTGCCTAAGACAAGTGTGGCTACATCTCCTTCCACTATAATTACCTCTTTTCACTTATACGTGTTGTGATTTAGGTGATAAATTATATGGTCACTTATATTAGGAGGCTAACACACCAAATCCCTTCATGAATGATTCTTCTAGTGTGCTTTTGAGGAAAGATTCTTATCAAGATTTTAAAAGACTTCTAAGGTATCAGCTTAGATTAAATCAAATCTCCACATACTCTATCTACATTACTGTATTAACATTACCAATTATAACCTTAAAAAATAACACTGGGTGATTGCACAGTGATACTATTAAAAAATTTACATTTTGATAATACTTTCATTTCTACTCTATGACATTATTTACTAAAAAACACTATATTACTCATATTAGCAGTGCTAAATATGACTTTAGTTTCTTTAATATACTAACAATTATTTTATGTAAACAGTCTTACCTTATAGTCAGAAACATCTGGAGAGTAATCGGATGTTAGTTCCAAAAGCTAAAAAAGAAGAAAAAGCTCAAAACACATATGAGCCCTGTGACTTCTTTCCCTTCCCCAAAGAAGAAAAGAAAAGAAAAAGAAAAGAAAAAAGAAAAGAAAAAAGAGGGAGAGGGGTGTCCCCTCTACCACTCTGGGAGCGCTACCATGATCCTGTGACAAACAAGGGTTCCAGTGGGAAGGGATTCTTTGAGGGTGATAAACATAACTTCTTTTACGGAGTACATGCTATGTTCCAGACAAAAGATTAAGCCATTTTTACTCATCCAGAAAACAATTACTGGATACTTGCCATACACAAGGCATGGAAACACAAAAGAGAGGCTCCAGGAAGGGTTTCTATAAACATATTTAACCTGACCTGCTAACAAGGTTTATTTGGAGAGGGAGAATTTTTTTGTTGTAATTGTTGTTGTTTTAAAATATACCTTAAAAGCGATTTTTTCTCCAACTTGAGGGGCAGCTGCTAACAGCGGTAACAGACTATAGTCCTTCTTGGGTGTCTCTACTGGATTCTGTAAAACAGAATTCGTCACATGACTTTGATGCTGGTGAGAATGTGAACGCATGACGTTAATTCCAGACATACCACATGGAGAAAGGAGAAGAGGTAAACTCATAATAAATCAATACTTACGTGGATAATAGTAGATGAGTTCGTTAACATTTCATTCAATTGCTGCTGCTTCTGATATTCAGTACTTTTATTTAAAATATTGGCAACAGCCTGCCCTCGTCCTCGACCTCTGCCCCGAGTGCCCCGACCCCTAGCTCCCTTCCAAGAAAGTAAGTCCTCTCCCCTACCCCATCCTCTTCCCAAACTGGTGGGGAGAGTCACATTGGGAGGTGGACCAGGAGCCTGTCTGCCACCATTTGAGTCAGAGTACTTCCATCCAGTAGCATTTGGAGTCTGTAATGATGGCCCTGAATCTGGGCAATCTCTTCCTGGAAACAGGCCTACTGAGTTTAAGAAACCTGCTGCACACTCCAGGCTGCTCTTTGACATTAGGCATTGGTCATCTGACTCTGAACTAGAGTCTGAACTAGAAGATGATGCTCTGGTTATCTTGCCCTTGATGGGGACAGAGTTAAAGACAGTTTTTGTAGCCATTTTGTTTGTGCTTGTGTTTTTTCCAATGGACCCTTCCTTTAATAACTCATTTGGTATTTTCTCTGAGGAATTTCTGACATCCAAGGTGACATTGCTGAGACCATCACTAGTTGATTCATGATAAGACTCAGACTCTGAGGAGGAACTGGGACTGCCTTTCGCACAAACAACCACTCCACCTTTCCTTTTGGCTTTAACAAGGTTGTTTCTGACAGGAGTACCTTTTGGAGGATTATAGTTCTGGATGGTCCACTCTCTTGCTGTCTGGGCTTTAGAGGACTTGGGATTCTTTGCCCTTTTTTTATATTCACTCTTCTCCTTTTTCCTTGGTGTTCTTCTTTTGGTCTCCTCTTCGTCCTCGTCTACTATCCCACACGTGGCTTTGTTCTTCCGCTTGCTTTTTTTCCTCACACTCTGATCTGAGGCAGTTTTTAGTTCTAGATCCAAGGTTTTCTCATTATTGTCACAGGTATCTTGCCTCTTCCAGTGCTTCTTTGAATTTATGTAAGTTAGTTCAGTTTCTTCATCCTCCTCCAACTTAAATGCCCGCTTCTTCGATTTTCTGGGTAATAAGAGAGTACCATCACCATTACTGGTGACTGGAGGATTCTCAACAACTCCTCTCTCTTCTAACTTAACTCTATCAAAGAATGAGAAAGAAAACCAGAATGAGTAACTCATAAGCGTGTCTCTAGGATGAAGTTACATACTGAGAAGACTCCAGACTCTTAGTACCACCAATTAAAAAAAAAAGTCAAATCACTCAAGGAAAAATGACTTTTTTTGGACAAACTATCCTAAATAGCATCATTTAGTCAACTTTCAAATGACCAGCTTTATTATATACTGCATCCCATTTTCTATATGTTTTTATTAATCTAAACACCACCATAAGATTTATTTTTCTTTCTCTTTCTTTCTATTTTGTTTCTGCAGACTGTCAAAAATTGTCAACTGTATTTCAAGTGATCATGGTAGGGGATTGGGTAAAGTTATCAATTAGCAATAATTGTACCTTGTAGAAACCTTATTGGCTATGATACTGCCACTGTGCAAAGTTTATCTTTCATTTTGAGGTCAGACAAGAGACCTGTCCAAAAGCCACAGCTAACAAACAGCACAAATAGGATTCAAGTCTTAGTTTATCTAACTTCAAAGTTCACTATCTTTCTGCTACATTATATTGCCTACACCCAAAAGATAATGCTGAGTATCCACTTTTGTTTTTAAATGTAGGCTGCTTTTTCAAAAATCAGATTTTATTTTTGTTTTGTTTAAATTTAGGAAAATGCTGAATAATTTACTATAAGAGACAGTCACTGTGACAGCCCATATTTGTGATTATTAATTTTATAAGTCAACTTGAACAGGTCCTGAGATACCCAGATACTTGGTTAAACATTATTATGGGTTTGTCTGTGTTGGTGCTCAAGGATGAGACTAACATTTGAATTGATAGAGTAAATCAAACTGCTGTTCCACAAGTAGGTGGGCCTCACCCAATCCAAAAATCAGAAGTAAGGGAGAAATCACTCTCTCTGCCTGTCTTCGAGCTGGGAACTTATATGATCAACTCTCCTGGTTCTTAAACCTTCAAACTGGACAATTACACCATCTACTCTCCTGTGTCTTTAGTTTGCCAGTGGTGGATCTTGGGTCAGTCTCCATAATCTCATGAACAAATTCCTTGTAATAAGTCTCCTATCTATATCTCCTATTGGTTCTATTTCTCTAGAGAACCGTAAGCCACTCCATCAAAAATTATTTCACTACAGGGCCTCCCTGGTGGCGCAAGGGGTTAAGCACCACACTATGAAGCAATCCACAGCCTATGGAGCATGAGTTCAATCCCCGGCCAGCCAGGGAGAAACCCACATGGTGCAGCAGACCTCTCCTGACTCGCCCGCTGCTCCCCTCAGCAGTGTACTTCAGTCAATCTGCCTGTTCTGTTCTCCACTCTGTCTCTGGTGAATCCTCTCACCCCCTGCATCACTGGCCTGTACCCCAGCTCTTGTATGCATAAATATTTAAAAAAAAATTATTTCACTACAGGAAAGGCATTCTGTTATTCCATGAACTAACAATGGCTAATTCTAGTATGTGCAGAATTCCAATATAATAGAAAATTGACTGTCCTCAAGGTCAAACATATAGTGGGTGCTCAAATATGCCACCTAGAACATACATCTTACTTTTAATATGTTTATATCTATTATCAGGTCTGAACCAAGGACCATGAAATGTCCCCTTGCTTTAACCTTTAACTTAGTAGCTCAGCTTTATGCACTGTAATGGGTTGCTTAATAAGCAATTTTTGTTCCTTCTGAGGATGATGAAAACAGTGCTAAACTGATAACGCAGAAGAGAGCAACAATTCCAGGAAGATCATCAATGATGCCATGGCTGACTGCCCCCAGACTGCCCAGTACCCTCCCAGACCTGAGAATGAAGAAACCTTCCCCGTGCACCAAAATCCCTGTACTCCTTCCTTTCCTATATAATCTTCCTTTACTGCCGCTCAGTGTAACATTTTTTAGAGTACTAACTCTGCCATTCTCCCAACATGGTACCATTTGCTAATAAAAAGCTTCCCTTGTGGTAACAATCTCAGGGGTCAGAGTATGGCTTTCTGAGTGGGAGAGAAATGACCTGGTTAGATCAGTAACACATCCAGCTATGTATTTCATCAAGTTGTTTTAGTGACCAGGGAAAGAGATAATCAAATTTGCAAATAAAGTACAACTGGCAAATAAGAAGATATAAGCATCCCTTAAAACTTTTTAAAAAAGATTTATTTATTTATGCATAGAAGAACTAGGGTGTAGGCCAGAGATGTGGGGGGTGAGAGGATTCACCAGAGACAGAGTGGGGAGCAGAATAGGCAGATCTACTGAAATACACTATTAAGGGGAGAGGCAGGTGAGAAAGGAGGTCTACTGCCCCATATGTGGGTTAGCAACCTGATAGCACTGAGCCTAAACCACTAGGCCACCAAGGACCCTCCCCTTAAAGCTTTTTAAGGTATAATAATACTGTGGCAGATGAAAAGAATCCTCACTTATTCTTCAGATTACACAAATATACAAAGCACATATAAATCAAAGTAAATAAGAGCTACTGATATCAAATAGAGAAATAAAACTGAGATATCAATGATTTTAATTCCAAAAACATATTCTTGTTTCATCTGTGGACGTCAGTATCTAAAAAATCGTACACTGGCAAAAGCTAGCTTGGCACTCTGTGAATCTAAGAACTACTGGGGATCTCACAGAATATCAGATTGTTTCCTGATGCTCTTGAGCAATTTGTTTCTCATAGCTACAATACAGTTTCAATTCTGAGATGAATAATTAGGATTAAACTTTCCGTCAAACTTTGAAAATGGTTGCATGGCTTACTGTTCAGTCACTGTTGTCTACTAAGACACCGGAACACAGCATGTACTGCATCACGTATACACAGGACCCCTGTCTTTCAGAGGAGACTGCACCAGTATCATACTTTCTAAAGAAGCCGCTGACATCATATTACCCATTCTGAAGACAATGGATCTGTGGATGAAGGTATGAACTTCACTCATTATCAGCTACTGCTGAAGAGAATAATTTCAGTTTGGAACATACTGAGATATAAAATGTATCCTGAGAACAAGAAATGGCGGGTCCACCTGAGTCTGCTTGATTACATTCCTTTCCCGATGTCTATTTTCCAGGGCAAGTTCTTCATTGCTCTGCTTGATCACAGACAACAAATGTAGCTGCCCTTTTACAAACAAAAGTGAATGCAGCTGTGTTTTTACAAAGAAAAGTAACTAGCTGTGGTTAATTAGCAATTAATGAGATTTGCTTCCAAGACATTTTTTAAAATAGACTCTCTACTTTCGTTCAAAACTCTCTGTAGGGCAAACTGGGCTGTACTAACAAAATGGAAGGTACCCCCTTCAATCTGCAGATTCATGTGTAGGAGTCTGTGATATAAACATGGGATATTTCAGAAAATAAATCTATATTACGAAGGGCTACAGTTCTCACAATTGCAATATTTAAATAGTCCCTGAATTGCAGAGGAAATGGAGATCTAGTCCACCGCGGGAAAAGAAAAAGAAAAAGAAAAAGAAAAAGAACTCTTCAAATTTCAAGCTGTCATAACAGCTAAACATTATTAATAAATCATCCGTTTCTGATTTAAGAAAGAGCTCAAACATAGTGAACCCTCAAAGGCCCAGGTCATACACCAGAAGTCTCTCGATATCACAGGACAAGCTGCACGTTTTGAAGAAAACATCCTTCCTCTCAGTTAACTTGGGTCTCCAGCGCCTGACCCAGAGAGCTGTCAGGAAAAGGCTGGGTCTCAGGCATGTCTACTTCGTGGCCACGTAGTAGTGCCTGGCTAAGGGAGAGCTTGCTAAATCCAGGCTGCATGAAATACCGGCCCCGCCTAAACACAAGAGCAGGGTTTCTCCAAGCTCGGTCCACCCACGCCGGGCATCACAGCCTTCAATTCGAGGAAAGAAACTCTTTGCCATGCAGATTCCTGAGCTCCCTACCTGACTAAACCAATCAGAGTCTCCGGGTTCACTAAGCTGCAGCGGAACTTGCCTATCCCATCCGCATCCCCACCCCTCCCACCCCGCACGCTAGCGGTCCCCAAAGGCCTGGGGCGCCCCGGGGCGCGCGCGACTGTTTCTCGGCCAGCCCGGCGCTCACCCCGTTAACCGCCACCCCGGCCCCCCGCCCCGCCCCCGCCCGGGCCCGGCACACCTGAGGCAGTCGTTGTCTCGCACCAGGCGCGCGCTCTCAGCCGGGGGCAAGAGTCCCCCCTCCAAGTAGAGACCCAAGAGGGCCCCAGAACTGTAGCCGAAGCGCTGGCGGATGAGACTAATGAGATCCGTGACTACTCGGCATCTGTTCAAGTCGACCAGAAGCCAGAAAGACGTACAGTTGGGGGTGGCTGGCGGCGGGTAATCAAATTGAAGCCGTAGCCTAACCGTTTCGGAGGCTGCCATCTTGCTCGTCGGCCTACGGAAGCCGAAAGGTACCACAATGCCCCGGGGAGGCGTGCTCGGGCGGCGCGCCCCCTGGGGCTGCGAGCGTGTGACACCTAGTGGTGGGAAGTGGCTACTGCAGGCTTCGTGAGCGGCGAGAATGCGGGGCAGGTCGCAGTAAGATTGTAAATGAAATGCCTTTATTCCTTGCCTAAAAATCGCTATGTAGAGACGGAATTTGGGCAGCTTCTCGGTCGTGATCGTCTAAGATATTTGCTCGTAGGTGAGAGCTAACATTCAGTAATGCCCTAAACTTGAGAAAACAACTTCACTTTATTGGCAGGAACTCCTCTTTTCTTAAAAATTGATGTGCAGTCTCTGATCACAATCCCCATTCTTATGGAATTGTCATTTTTATCCCAGTTTCATCTAATTTTAGCCCCATACACCTGGCACCTCTAAATGTCAGAGTAAATGGTATAATCAAAACACAACTCGCTATGCATTTAGTTGACAAAATTTTTCAAGGTAAAAAGTTGTAAAAGATGGAATTCTGAGCATATAGTAAATATGTTTTAAGTTAAATAAAATGATTAATCGTTCTTTAAAATGTGTCCAGTGGGTTTAAGTGCCCTAATCAATTAATACCCAACCATTCATATTTTAAAATATAAAAGTAGGGCCTCCCTGGTGGTGCAAGGGGTTAAGCACAGCACTGTGAAGCTATCTGCAACCTAGGCAGCACTAGTTAGATCCTCAGTCAGGGAGCAACCCACATGGCACAGCAGACCTCTCCTGTCTTGCTCGCTGCTCCCTTCAGTAGTGTATTTCAGTAGATCTGCCCCTTCTGCTCCCCAGAATCCTGGTGAATCCTCTCACCACCACCACCCCTGCCCTGCTCTGGCCTGTACTCCAGTTCTTGTGTGTGTAAATAAATACAAATAATTCTTTTTTTAAAAAAAGACTTGGAAATCACTTGCCTTCAAAAGGAACGTTTACCCAGTCACTGAGCCATTCACTTCTCAATATCTGGGAAGGTGTGCCTAAGACTTAAGTGATGATTATACCATTTACTCTGACATTTAGAGCACCCCTATGTTTATAGCAGCACTGTTTACAATAGCTAAGCTTTGGAAACAACCCAAATGCCCAAAAATAGATGACTGGATCAAGAAGATATGGTACATATACACCATGGAATATTACTCAGCATTCAAAAAAGATAAACACATGCAATTTGCAGCAACATGGATGGCACTGGAAGGGATCATGCTCAACGAAATAAGCCAGAAAGAAAAAGAAAAATACCGGATGGTCTCACTCATAGCAGGAATCTAGAAAACTTAAATAAGGGACCAGGAAAAAGAATAACTATAAGAAAGAAAATATCAAAATCAACAAACAACTATGAACAAGAGACACTCTATGGGGGGTGAGGGGTGGGGAGGGGAGGGATTGGGGTCAAAATAAGGGGATTGCAATTGTATGGGGAATATAAAAATAAAATTTATTTAAAAAAATTAGATGAAACTGGGATAAAAATGACAATTCTATAAGAATGGGGATTGTGATCAGAGACTGCACATCAATTTTTAAGAAAAGAGGAGTTCCTGCCAATAAAGTGAAGTTGTTTTCTCAAGTTTAGGGCATTACTGAATGTTAGATCTCCATGATTGCACTGCTGATTCGATTAATAGAATCGAATACATTTTTCCCCTAAAGTTAATCTAAATATAACAACATCTGGTAGAAACAAATAAGCAAGGTGTTTTGAGGCTATGTAGATGCAATGGGGGGGGGAAGTGTTGCATTTCTTTGGGGGGAACAGAAGCAATGCATAAGCACATTCATTCTCAGTCACTTTTAGGAAAGAGTCTAAGTATAAGAGGGAGATAGGGAAACTTGATTCTCTTAAAACCAATCATTTCTGCCCCAAGAGGACACGTTTACATCAGAGAAAAATGACAAGTTCAAATCAAACTATAAGCATCACCTGTTTCGAAAACATTCTGTAGCCACTCCCCATCAGAGAAAATTCCATTTGTTTTCTCATCCCTGTTTGACTCTCTTTGGCTGGTCTTTGTCGCCATCCAGTTCCTCTTCCTCTCATCTCTCTTTCTCCATTTCTTAGGAACAAACCAAATTCCTCTCATAGTCCTGTGCAGCAATTTAGCAATTGTTTGTTGCCTTGGACGATGCCCTTATACTCTCAGCTGCCACCTCCTAACTCAAGGAGTCTGTATGATATTTTTCTTAAACAAAGACCAATCTGATCCTTAAGAGGGACTTTGCTGCTGAGTATAAGTTTTCATCTGGTTCCCACGTGTTTTCTGTTTGTTTTATCCCTGTAATTGTAAACTGTAATGAAAAAGGAAAACCTTAATATTTCTCTTAACGAAAGACCTTCTAGTGTGTTGAAAGCCAAACTGTAGTGTAGATTATACCACTCCTACTCACAGCTTGTCATACTTAGCACCACATTTGTCAACACAGCCACCATCAGTGATCCATTGTTTGGTGATTCTTGGGTCCCAAGAGCATTTTCATGGTTCTCTAACTATGTATAGCCTTTGCTTATCTCTTCAAGAAATTCCATTCTGGAAATAACATCAGCTTAGAAAACACTCTTTGCTTTGGCAGCACTTATACTAAAAAGGGGAATATACAAAAATCTGCGTGGCCTCTGCACAAGGATGCCACACTAATTAGTGAGGCATTCCACATTTTTCTGAACAGTGATTCCAGGTTTTAAATAGTTTGTAAAGTTTTAGTTGCTACACCTTTATTATTCAATCCTGACCTTTGATTTTCTTTTCTTTTTTTTTTTTTTTAAAGATTTATTTATTTATTTATTTATACAAGCATTGGGTACAGTCAGAAGCGCGGGAGGGTGAGAGAATTCACCAGAGCCAGAGCAGGGAGCAGAGCAGGCAGAAGGACCGAAGTACACTGCTGAGGGGAGCAGCGGGCGGCAGGAGAGGTCTGTGCGCCATGTGGGACCCTCTTCCGGTGGCTGGGGAGCAGCCGGGGATCGAACTGGTGCCACAGAGGCCCCGGGCAGCTTCGCAACCCAGCGCTCAACCGCTGCCCCACCGGGGAGGCCCTGTTTTCATCTAAAATTTTTTAATTTTAAAAAAGAAAGTAGATATAATGTGTTTCAAAATGAAATGCTCATTTTTAAGCATCAACTTTTAATATCTTCCAGGGTTCTAGTTACAATTTTTTCTCTAGCTGATTTTTTCCTGTTTTATTGTAAAAAATTTCAAACAAGACAGATTGGAAAAAATGTATAAAGAATACCCACTCACCTGCCACCCGAATTCTGCCATTAACATTTTCCCATAATGACTTATCATATTTATCCATCTATTCATTCTTCTTCTCATTTATCAATACATTTTATATTTTGGGTTCATTTCTAAGAAAATTGCATAATATACTGGCATACTCCCTAAACTCTTCAACATGTACATCATTAAGTAGGGCTAAATTTTTGTTAATGATTTTTTTCTTTTGAGGTAAAATAGCATGTTATGAAATGCACTCATCATAGGTATACATTTGCTGAGTTTTGACAAAAGTGTACTTCTGTGTAACCCAAACCCCTGTCAGAATATACATTACTGTTATCCCAGGAGATTCCCTGTCAGTCCCTGCCCCTTATCCTTTATAGTTTCTAGGTGATTTTTATACCATGTTTTAATCAGGTGGTTCTCTTGACCTTCCCTCCATCACCCCCCCCATTTAAAAATCATAATTTTAAAGTTAATGTTTGTAGCTTTTTATGCAATAGTATCACTTCTCCTATTTTAGCTAAAATAAGTAATCCCAGATATGAGAAGTATCATTTGCAAAAACATAGGTTTTTTTTATAGTGTTATTTTTGCATTGAAAAAAACCCTAAAGTCTAAGTGCTGCGGATGGTTAAATGCACTTGAGGTTCTGGCAACAGAATGACTTGCAAACTATAAACAGGAAAAGCTTAGGATCGTGTTGTGCATAGTTATTTGTTTTTGACTAAGGGTCTAGCTTTTATGTTCCTCTATCAAAGTTTCTCTAGAGGCTGTCTTCAGTACCTGCATTGTGGGCTTTTATGGATTCTTGGATGCTAAAGTTGAGGAGAAGCTGATTGTATACTTCTTTCTCTGGTCCAAATCTCAGGGCTCTCGTCTTTCACCAGAAGAACGCTGCCATTTCACAGATAAAAACATCTGTCCATTTGAGGGACATGGGAAGGGAACAGGAAAGGAAAGTGGACATTTTCTTGTGCAATTTGATTTTTTGTTTTTTGTCATGCGCCCTTTTGAAACAAGAGTATTTAGAAGTAACTGACCCTCATTCAGCCCCTACATAATCTTGTTTATTACCTCTACGAGGTGAGTTCTTGTATTCATTGCACCCTAAGATAAAAATGACCTTCAGACATATAACAAGAAAACATCTTTTTTCCTCACTTCCTCTTCTCAAACGCCCAATGTTCTCTTTAAAACGATTGTTGTGAAATGTTAAGAACATAGAAAAATGCTGATGATAAATTGTCAAGAGAGAAAAAAGATAGTTTTATCACTGCCTATCAACAGTAACTTTGTAAGAAGAATTAATTACTTTAAAAACAAATCTCTGAAATGGAAGCCCACAGTTTCCAAGGACCTAGTGATTCGGGTTTCATCTGATTTGGGGCAGAAGCAACTGTTTTGAAATGCCAGGAAATGAAGAGATGCGTGTGATTTCCCAGTAAGCAGCCTCTCAGTCCCGTCACACAGCCCGAGGCAAGTAACACATTAAGCGCCGCCTCCTCTCTGCTCTCTCTATAAACCGCACAGAGAACGCCGTAGTGGGGTGGACCGGTTCCCAGTGCAGCCAGGCGTCCTGGTGGACCACAGGTAAGCAGGGCACCGCGAGCCGCCCCGCCCCCGGGCCAGGCCCCGCCCCACCCAGCAGGCCCCGCCCCAGCCAGCAGGCCCCGCCCCCACCAGGCCCCGCCCCCCCAGCAGGCCCCCGCCCCACCCCAGCAGGCCTCGCCCATGCATCACATGACCCGCTCGGGGTTCAGCCAGTTGCTGTTGATGCCACGAGGTATTCGTCATGGAGCCCGCGCCCCGGAGCCCTCTTGTGCCGCCGCCGCTGCTGCTGCTGCAGCTGCTGCTGCTGCTGGGCCTGAGCTCAGGTAGGTTGGGGCGAAAGGTACTTTAGGAGCGATCATGCTTCCATCTATTCGTTCCTTCTAGCTCTTTTCTCTCTCCGGGATGAGTCTGTTCCTGGGTTTGCTCTTAATGACAAACCTCTTTCCCCCCCCCCCCCCGCTTACTACTTTGTCTAATTCTATTGCTTTTGAACCTCACTTTCTCTCCCTCCCCCCAACCCCCACCCCCAATTCAAAGAGCCTTTCCTGCCCTTCTCTGGCCCGGGGAGGTCTGGTGCCGCCTTTCTGTCCTGCGCCTTGGTAGAACCATGCAAAATGTATGATTGCAGAAAGTGCTGATCGATGGTGTTTACTTGACCCCAAGTCCACTTCCCCTTTTGTGAAGTGATGTGACTACTAAATGGGGTTTTAAAATCATTTTATTTTGAAATGAAACATGCGGTTTAAAAGAGAGAAAAGTCCTACCAGGAATGGGCTATTTCACTGAGATAACGACTTTTTCCCACTACTTGATCCGAACAGACAGAAATAACATCTTTTACCGGGATCCTTTTTGGTTTAGCAGGATGATTTGAAAATCAGCAGCCTTTTCAGCAAAATTACTTCTACTCTGAATCGGGAACTGAAAATTCGAACTGGCTAAAAGCTGGGTTCGTGATCTTACACAAGTAGCTTAGTAATTTGGTTTTCCTTTTGTTCGGGTGGCCCATCAGCTTGTTACTGGGACTTGTCACATTTTAACTGTGGTCACCGCTGGGGAGGGGAGGAGCGCCGGGAGTTAGGTCGGATGGAACCTGAAGCTTATGTGTCATTTTCAAGGAGACTGCAATCTTGTGTTATTAGTGATTAGAATCTAAGAGGCACATCTGCAATATCCTAACTATTCTGTTTTGCACCTCAAGACACTTTCTGGTTTTCTTAATCTTTATTAGTTACAAAACAGCATGGTTCACCCACACCTGTCTCTTCAGTGGGTCACTTGTTCTTCCCTTCACAATGTATGAAAAAGGGAGGTATGAGGCAGAGGACTCCAGGTCTCAAGGGTGACCCCTTGCCATGCCTTTTGACACCAGCCTTTTTTCACCTACAGGGTGGTATTTGAGAAAAATGATACTGTAACTTGAAAGTTGTTACTTTAGCAAAGGGTGACATAGTGTACTTAACCTGCACTTCTGTGTGTATACATACACAAGCACACAGGGACACATATATGCTGCATTTCTTGCCTTCCCCAAAGAATGCCAGTTGGCATTCTTTTTTTTTTTTTTAAGTTTTATTTATTTATTTATGCATACAAGAACTGGGGTACAGACCAGAGGTGTGGGGGGTGAGACAGAATGGGGAACAGAAGAGGCAGATTGACTGAAATACATTGGGGAGGGGAGCAGCGGGTGCAGTTGGCATTCTTGCTAACAGTGCAGAGGGCCAGCCTTCTGTCTCTCTGTGGACATTGATTCCCTGGCATCATTTTTTGTCTCTCAAATAAGCAAAGATTTTTTTAGTGACTTCATTATTGCTTTAATTTTCATATCTTAGAATATTAGGGATGTTAATCTTTTCTCACATATTGATCAAATATGTGTCTGCCTTTTTCACAAATTACTTCCTCACAGCCTTTACTCAGGATTTTTAATTTTTTTGAATTGGTATACATATTTATTATAGATCTTTGTCGTTTGCCTTTTAACTTTTTTAATGGAAAAATTTTCTTGTACAGAAATATAACAATCTTCTGCCCTCAAATTTTGCTATTTTTCCTTATGACCTCTGGCATATGTTTAAATCCTTTTCCCACCCAGAGGTCAGAAAACCACTCAACTGTATTTTTATATATATTTAACATTTAAAATTCAAAATATTTGATCCAGTTAGTATTTGCTTTGTTTAGAATGTTAAGAGAGAACCTACATTCCCATTGTTTCTTCTTCAAAAAAATCTCACAGGTGCTGACATAATAAAACAAATCATCTTTGCCCCTAAATTTGTGATACTTCTTTCAACATGTATTCAATGCAACATAAAAACCAACAAGTTGCATTCTGAGATTTTTCTTTAACCAACATTTACATCTGTCTCTCTCCCTTCTTTTTAAACAGAATTATAAAATTGTTTCATGTTTAGTATTAAAAAACCCAAACATTGCATAAGGATGTAGAGGGAAAAGTGAAAGGCCTAACTTCTTCTGCCACTATTAGGTTTCTTTGTTGTTTTTTTTTCTTTTCTTTTTTATCTATACAATAGCTGGGGTATAGGCCAGAGGCGCTGGAGGGTGAGAGGATTCACCAGAGACAGAGTGGGGAACACAACAGGCAGACAGACAGAAAGCACTGCTGAGGGGAACAGCGGGCGCAAGAGGACAGGTCTGCTGTGCTGTGTGGGAATCTCCCTGGCTGGCCAGGAATCGAACCCGCGCTGCAGAGGCTGCAGACAGGTTCATAGCGCTATGCTCAACCCGCTGCGCCACTGGGGAGGCCCTTCTTTGTTTTTTTCTTAATTGAGACTTTCCCTCTTCATCTCCATAATATTTTGGGATGAGTAAGTTGCCTAAGATTTAAACCAAATCATCTCTAGTCTAGAATGGCCCTTCCTCCTGGACTTGGAATTTACCTGGAACATTAGCCATTCTTCAGAAAATCACACTGCTTCTGTTTCAGGAGCTGTCATCAACCAGCCCACGGTGGAGGGCAAGGAAGTATGGGATTATGTGACTGTCCGGAAGGATGCCCACATGTTCTGGTGGCTCTACTATGCCACTAACTCCTGCAAGAACTTCTCAGAACTGCCTCTGGTCATGTGGCTTCAGGTAAAAGTCACTTCACTTCTTGGTGAAGCTTGGAGATTGGGGTTGAACCTGGTTTCCCCACTTACTACTCTGTTCTTTGGGCTGATGTCTCATAGTCAGCTGGAGGTCTCCTAAGCTGGGACTTCTGAAGCAGGCAAAGGCAATGGTAGGTGGAGACCAAGTTAGAGAGTGGGAAAGTGTTTTTATATTGAGCCCAGTGGTGGATCTCCTGAAGCTACATTTGACTATATGTTAATGCAAAGTGTTTCGAAAGTTTCTAAAGCAAAGGCTGAGGGCCCTTCCTCCAGTTCCTGCCATTATTTCCTAAACCCCAACTTCTTGCTCCTGAAAAGTTGGTCTTTAAAAAGGAGCCAGCCTTTTGTATCTTCGTGTTACTTGTTGGACTCTTTTCCTCCTTAGGTATGCTTGCTTTGCAATCCTGAGAGCTTGGAGCTAGCTGAAAGGTATTTGGGGTCAGGCAGAGGAACCTTCCTTGAGTTCCTGAAATAGCATCTAGAGGAGGCTCATACCTGCCTGAAAGGCCAATCTCTAGGGAGGGGTTGAGGAACCCTGTCTTGCTTCAGCCTCTGGAAAATGTAGGCATGCCCACCCTGGGGCTCATGTTGCTCCCCAGTAAATAGGGCATATGGGAAGCAAATATGACTTCCTCTGAAGATGTCTGTGTTCTCTCTGCAGCCTCCTAGGGCCCCAGGCTTTGCCTCCAGCTCAGTAGATGCAGACTTTTCAAGGCAAATGTGCAGTTTGCAGGGCGGGGCCTGTCTTTCTCAGCATGATGACAGTATGCCTTACTGGAGACTTGGTGTACAACTATGGGAATGAATAAGTTCCCCCAAATTGAGAAGACAGTCACAGTTCAAGTTTGTTCAAGATAACATATGCACAGGAATCCTGATAGACAGGACTACCCCCTTTACCTCCATGCACATGCACTGGGGTCTTTATCCTGCTTATTATTATTATTATTATTTTTTTTTAATTTTATAGAGGCATGTTTTTATTTATTTATTTGTTTGTTTTGTTTATACATGCACTGGGTACAGTCAGAAGCACGGGAGGGTGAGAGAATTTACCAGAGTCAGAGCGGGGAGCAGAGCAGGCAGAAGGACCGAAGTACACTGCTGAGGGGAGCAGCGGGCGGCAGGAGAGGTCTGTGCCATGTGGGACCCTCCTCTGGTGGCCCGGGAGCAGCCGGGGATCGAACCGGCGCCGCAGAGGCCGCGGGCAGCTTCGCAACCCAGCGCTTAACCGCTGCGCCACCGGGGAGGCCCCCTGCTTATTTTTTTTTAAGATTTATTTATTTATTTATGCCTATAAGAGCTGGGGTACAGGACAGAGGTGTGGGATGCTGAGAGGATTCACCAGAGACAGAGTGGGGAGTAGAGCAGGCAGACTGAAGGAAATACACTGCTGAGGGGAGCAGCGGGTAAGTCAGGAGAGGTCTACTGTACCATGTGGGTAGCTTCCTGGCCGGGGATCGAACTCATGCTGCAGTGGCTACAGATTGCTTCATAGGTTGCGTCTTAATCCCTTGCACCACCAGGAAGGCCCTTTATCATACTTCTTATGCATGATCTTTCTTGTGTGAAACTAGTGATCAGATGTCGGGGATGATGTGTAGAGCATCAGCACAGGTTAACAGGTTAACACACAGGAAAGAAACAGTGGGGGGTTGGCTAGCCAAGATGGGGTCACTGGGTTTCCTACAGCGGGGCTCTTGATCTCTTCCCACTACTTGCAGCTTCTCTTCTCTGGGCTTTGTTTTCTTATCTAGGGGATTTGGGTGATTTTCAATCTTATTAATGAGCAGAACTTTTTCACCCCCATGTGAAGCTCACAAACAGAAACCAAAGCAGAAAGTAGAAGTGCTGGGATGGGGCGGGGTGCCCATCCCCACCCAGTCAGCCTGGCCTCTGTCATATCTGCCCCTGGGGCACTTTTTGGGTTCTCAGGGGTACAAAGTGAAAAACACTGAGTTTTAGAAGTTGCAAAGGGTCCTTTCGGTTGATCTGCAGAGTTGAGTTGTTGCTAACATTTTAAAATCAAGACATCTCCTTCCTTTTTCCAAAAACCAGGAGATCCAGCAACTTAGGGCCTGAACTCACTATCCTGAAGCTGAGGGGCCTCTGCCTTCCAGCAGACAGGACTCTCTGAAGGGGACTCCTTTCGCTCACACCTGATTTCTCTGTGCCAGCTGATGGTCTTCCTGGGCCCTGTGGGTCAGTCCAGTTTGTGACCTTTGGTTGGGTCAAACCTTTGAGTACAGGTGTTTGAAGGTTATTCACTGACTAATTTAATCTTACCTTTTTTAAAAAATAAATGTTTTTATTTATCTTGTGTAGAAGAACTGGGGTATAGGCCAAAGGTGCAGTGGTGAGAGGATTCACCAGAGACAGAGTGGGTAGCAGAACAGGCAGATCTACTGAAATACACTGCTGAGGGGAGCAGTGGGTGAGACAGGAGAGGTCTCCTGCACCATGTGGGTTGCTCCCTGGCCGGGGACCAAACTCACAGTGTTGATAGTGCTGAGACTTAACCCCTAGACCACTAGGGATGCCCCCTATTCTTACCTTCTGAGAGACCCAAAGGAGGGGTAAGTTCATGACTGAGGAAGAAGTAATAACAAACTAAAAGGAGAGCTGTTCTAGCAGCCCACTGAGGACGCCTGTGCTGTTGAGAATTGAGTCTTGGAAATCCAAGAGGAGTAGCCGGTATTTTAGGTGCACTCAAGTCATGTGAGCACTTCAGCTGGGTTGCTGACACATTGACCATATTTTGGAGTCACTGGTTATCCCTGGACCTGACAGCACCCTTCCCAAAATTCTGGACAAAAAAAGGATTTGCAGTAGAATGTTCTCACATAGAACAGAAGCACCTGCCTGGAGCAGTCATCAGCTCTATGGGGGCTTCAGGAAAATCAGATTTCTCCCACAAACACCAAGCCCTCGAGGATCCCAGCTCCCCTCCTGCTTTGGTTCTGTCTCATCCCAGTGATTCCGAAATGGACTGGAAAAGCTTTCACTTGAAGGATACACACTTACCTCATGTTTTGCATTATAAGTATTTTTCAGTGTTGCCAACTTACTTTTGTAGTTTGATTCTGAACGCCAGTGTCACATTCCCATCTGTAGACATGTCTCGATTTACTAACCATTCCCTCCCAGCGGACATCAGAGCGGCGGCCTTACTTTTGCTGTTACAGTAAATATCACTGTACGGAGAGCCTCCTCTGGTTTGTGAGTGTCTTACCACTGTATTAGCACATCTCAAGGTATAAAGTATATAATTAGAGAGCTATAGCCTCCCCATTTTATAGAAGCTGTGTGGGTTCAAAGCACTAACTAGTTTTGTAAAGTCTTTCCCTGTTGATGTTCTCCAGTCACCCTTGAGCTCCAACTCCACGATGTCTTTTTTCTTGCCGGTTGCCCTGGCCTCTGTTTGCCTGACGCTCTCCCCTTCCCTGTTTGCATCACTCCCTTTCCTGTCCACCTTGCACAGAAGGCCCTAGGCCTGAACCCTTGCCTTGGCTGATAATGTTCTCATCACTGCCTACTTAGCTGAACTGGCCCCTAGATTTTGCTGAGAAAAGCCTTTATGGCCCCTCCCCAGACCGTCTTCTAAAGGGCTTCTCCCATCTCGGAGTTCCCCAAACTCACCCTGTTTGACCCCTCAGTTTCTTTTCTCTCCTCCATTCTCTTAGCCCTTCAGAACCCATAGGGCTTCTGCCCCCCACAGCTCGGGGCCCCAGCAGCACACTCTGTTCAGATTCTTGGCTATCTCTGCATGTCTTGCTGCCAGGTGCTCTCCACTCTGGGGGAAATGTCTGCATTTGCTACATTATGACCCAGGGACCCACCTGGGCAACTGCTCCTCTGTCTGGGTCCCTTATCAAGCCTCAGGCATTCTCTGGATAGCTTCACACCTTTAGGGAGACTGGGGTGGGGTGGACAGTCACAAGGCCCTCCCTGGGCCTTACTGCTTGTCTGAGGTGAGGGTCTTGGACAAGATGTTCTGCAGTTGGTCTTAGTCACAAGGCCAAGAAGCGATACACACAGCATCCTGAAGGCCAGCCAACCCAGGGCAGCCAGGGCACCAGCTCTGAGAGTTGGGTCAGAAAGTCCCCTCTGGGGCTCTTAGCTCAGGCCGCTTGCTACTAGGAAGACTAGAGCAGCTGTCACACAGGCTTGGTTAGTGCAGAAAGCTCTGCTGCAACCGACAAATGGTGTCTTTTCTGCAGGAGTGACACAGCCGTTGCTAAAGCATAAATTGTTAAAAATGAATGTGGTCATCCATTGTAAAAACTGTGTTCTGACTAAAGTTTTCTCTGGACTTATTTTTGTTTCTGTTCTCTTCCACAGGGTGGTCCAGGCGGTTCCAGCACTGGATTTGGAAACTTTGAGGAGATTGGGCCCCTTGATAGTGACCTCAAACCACGAAAAACAACCTGGGTACAGTGAGGATGGGTTCTATGAAACTGCTCTGTTGCCTTTCCAGGGCTGAGCCCCACCAGCCCTGCCCCATCCTGGGTGGGCCCATAAACTGAGCAGTACCTCCCAGTCACCCTTTTCTCATCCCCATATGTCCTGGGGAACTGTCCACAGGCGTCCTCTCTGACTGGCTTCTCCCATTTCTGGGGCAGCTCATCCTATACTGGTCTCTTATTGACCCCAGCGCAGTGACTTTTCTTTCTATTTACCTGCAGGAATCTGTTCTAACAGACCCCGGGACCTTGTCACTGCCCACATATTGGCCATGTCTGCAATCTCAGTCACTTCTGCTTCCTCATCACCCTCCTACCTTCTTCACTTTATTAAGACATTAGGTCCTTTGTCCTGTGCCCTTTTAATGTCTTTCTGGCTCTCTGTCTCCATCCCCTCCCCATTCTTACCTTCACTTCCATCCCTACTCCTCTCTGGTCATCCCCCACCCCCTGGCTCCTTCATCCTTTTCCCTTTACAGCCTTGCCCCACCCAACCCAGGTCAGTCTCTCTGTCCACTGCCTTGTCCCTACCCCTAGGTTGCCCACCCCTGCGGGCTTTGCTGCCAGCTCATTGCTCCCCTCTGCTCTGTGTTCCTGCTCTCTCCTTTCCTCAGGGCACCGGTTGCTGCCAACACTCTCCACTTCCTGGGGCTTCCCCTCTACCTTCCTCCCCCATCGGGAGTGAACCTGCCTCATGGAGCACACAGAAACCTGTCCAATCACCAGCTGTCCTCCCTCTGGGCTTTCTAATAAGTGTACTTCTCTTTTTGCCCCTTCTTAACCCCATGTCCATCCCCCTGAAAACATTAAGTGAGGTCCCTCCCTGCTGAGATCTCTTTCTCCAAGACTCCACTTAGGCAGTTAGTATTTTCTTTTTTTTTTTTTTTTTGAAGAGTTATTTATGCATGCAAGAACTGGGGTACAGACCAGAGATGTGGGGATGAAAGGATTCACAAGAGGCAGAGGGGGAACAGAACAGGCAGACTGACCGAAATACACTGCTGAGGGGAGCAGTGGGCGAGACAGGAGAGGTCCGCTGTGCCATGTGGGTAGCTCCCTGGCCGGGGATTAAACTCAAGCTGCAGAGGCTGTGGCAGATAGCTTCACAGGTTGCGTCTAAACCCCTTGTGCCACCAGGGAGGCCCCTAGTTAGTATTTTCTATGTAGCATTGTTCTCTCTAGCCTGTTTTCTCAGAGTGCAAACATACACTGGTCTTTCCCAATATAATGATATACTCTCAACAACACATCTACTGCCACTCCCCCAGACCCCCCAGCTACCACTCTTTCTTACAAGTGCTCTTTGTATTTTGCTATTGCCCATTCACTCCAGCTTCCCAGCAATACTGATCCTGAGTGTTGGGGGAGGGAAAGAGTGGTTGCTAGCAAACCCAGTGCTTTAACTCTGGGAGGCAATGTGTGCCCTCTTCCTGCTGTGGTCATGACAAGATTGGGAAGCACTGCCTAACCCAGAGGTCTGTCCCTGTCACTCTACCGGCACTACTGTCCCAAGGGCATGCAAGCTTCCCTGTTTCAAGCCCATGTACTGGAATTCCTTCTTAGAATTCATCTTCATTGAACTTTACAGCATTGTTGGTCATTCCCATGTTTCATGTGTTGCTATTTCCCAGTACTCTGTCCTTCTCTTTTACACTCTATTTTCAGGTTTTGGGCGCTCCATCCTTGTCAACTGCTTCAATGAAAATCTTTGATGCCCCCTGTGAAGCTGACAACTCCTCACTTCACTGTGTCTAGCTCAGAATTCTCCTCAGGCTTCTACATGGAAAGCTGTCTTAGCTTGGACTTCATACCTTTGGCCACCCATTCATATGTAGCTTATCACACATCTCCCATTCTTTAAGACTCACTGCAGGATCACTTCTTCCTTAAGGTTCCTCTGACTTCCTTCATTCTCTTATCTGTCTTCCTTAAGTACCTTTACTTACTTGCCTCAGGGCCTTTGCACAAGGTGCTGCCTTGGCCTGGAACATTCCTGTATCCCTTCCACTACAGTAACAGGATGCCCCACTGACTTGGCTGAGTCCCACCTTTAAGAAGGTGCTATGACTAGAGAAGAGACCAGAAAGAGAAGTGAGGAGATCGGGTCTTAGTCCTGATGCTCCCACTCCCCATCGGCTCTGTAACCTCAGATAAGTCCTGGGCCCTTTTGGCTTTTTCTGACCATTAAAGTTCATGGATGGACTGTGCCATCACTAAAGGTCCTTTCAGATGTAAAATCCGGTAGTGTCTTTGGAAAAGATAGTAGGATAGGTAGTAGAATAAATTCTGTTCTTGCAGAGTATAGGGAACCAGGCCAGTATAGAAACTGGATTCATCTTAAACTGATATGTGGAATTCAGACCTTGGATGTACTCTCACTGCACTGAGCTGTTGCTCAGACTGACTATGTGTGGTTTTGCCTGTGCTGGCATATTACATTTAAGACATTTGTATTTGTGAAAAGTCACAGCTTAGATTCTTTGATCCCTGTGGATATGTTAACCATTTCTTCTCATTTCTCTTCATCTTTGCCTTCCTTTTGCTGTATTAGTCTATGTTACTGTCCCCCTTTTTTTCCTTCCAATTTCCTTTTAGTCACTGAATCAGAACCTCACCAGTATCCTCATGTGTGGTTTTTGCTAAGCTTGTATAAGATGATCAGTGAATAATTGGTGACATCCTGTGGTCTGCAGCTCCAGTCTGCCAGTCTGCTCTTTGTGGATAACCCTGTAGGCGCTGGCTACAGTTATGTGAACAAGAGTGATGCATATGCCAAAGACCTTGCCACGGTGGCATCAGACATGATGGTTCTCCTGAAGACATTCTTCGATTGCCACAAGGAATTCCAGGTAAGCAAAAGCTCAGGAACAGCTAAGCAAGAGGCTAACAATGGCATTAATGCATTCACCAGAATAATCTTCAATTTTCCCCAAGTGTTCAATGCCCAGCTGATTCTAGAGAGCACTTTTCTACCCCTAAAACTGGGTTGAGGGCTTTTGTTTCTGTTATCTCTAAAGATGATTTTTAAGTTTGAAAGAATGACCTCAAAGTCAGTATTTTAATCAGATACAGAGGAAAAGACAAAAGTAGATTTGTTTTGTCTGGCCATTATAGGCAATCAAACTTTAAAATTCATGTGAATTAAAATTAAATTGTGTGAAATACAAGGCACTTAGGAAACTAATTCTTTATAAACTCCTTTTTTTGCTAGAAAATTCCATTCTACATTTTCTCAGAGTCCTATGGAGGAAAAATGGCTGCTGGCATTGGTCTAGAACTTCACAAGGTAAAAGGGAAGATGGCTTTGTGGTTTGGGTTTAGATAGAAACTGACTGTTGTTTGTTTTATACTCTTTTGATATTAAATATATTTTGAATAGGACCCTGTAGAGAAAGAGTAAGCCTGTGATAGAATCATAAAAAGTTTTTAAAGGAACAGTGAAGGACCTCCCTAGTGGCACAGTGGGTTGAGCGCAGCGCTATGAAGCTGTCCACAGCTCTGCAGCGTGGGTACAATTCCCGGCTGGCCAGGGAGCTACCCACATGGCACAGCAGACCTCTCCTTTCTCTCCCGCTGCTCCCCTCAGCAGTGCTTTCGGTCTGTCTGCCTGTGCTGCTCCCCACTCTGTCTCTGGTGAATCCTCTCACCCTCCCGCACCTGTACCCCAGTTCTTGTATAAATAAAAAAATTAATCTTTAAAAAAAATAAAATAAAGGAACAGTGAAGATTCCCTTACCCAATAGCACACAAAATCTAAGACTTCTGAAAGCAGAATAGTGTGATAGTAACAACTAGATTAAATGAAATAGGATAAAGAATCCAAATGCCCACACATGCACACACAATGATGTTTATAAAAGCAAAGAAAGGCTTTGAAAGGGTACATGTTAAGTGTAGTTACCTAGTGAGTGTGAGTACAGATGAGGCAGAGGTGAAAGAGCAAAATTTTTTCACATTTTTTTATTTCTCCTTTGTTTAAATTTTATATTATGAACTTGTATGATTTTTTTTTAAGATTTACTAATCTTTTTAAAACTGAACCTTTTATAAGAAGCAGTGTGTGAGCACTGCAACAATTAGAAAATATAACAAGCACAAATTAGAAAATGAAAATTCTGCCTTCCCACCAGCTGGAGATCACCAGTGTTAACACACCTAGTGTACAGCTTTCTATATCTTTTTCTGCCCTTTTAAGAATAAATTTTTAACCAAGTGAGATCATATTACATGCATACTGTCTACAGCCTGCTCAGCCTGGCTTTTTTAATCATAGTATCACCTTCTCGTTTCATTAAATTTTCATCTCAAATATATTTCTTGAATTGGTTCCAACATGTCTTTTATAGTCAGTTTGGCTAAGCGACTATTCTATCCAGATCCATAAGCTGAATCTGTGATGCCCCTAATGTCGGTTTTCCTCTAGATCGTCCCTTCTTTATGACCATGATTTGGTAAAAAAAACAAACAAAACCAAAAAACAAGTTACATGACTTGTAGAATGTCCATTTTCTGGATTTGTCTGATAATATCTTTCATGGTGTTCCCTATGAAACTGGAAGCTATATCTGAAGGCTTGATGATTCAAGGTCAAAGTTTTGGATAGAATATATTCTAGTATGCCATATTTGAGAAAATGATGGCCCATTATCAAATCCACTGGTTTTGATAAGACCCAGAAGCTAAGAATGGTTTTTACATCATCAAATGGTAGTGTTGGGGGAGGGCATGAAGACTCAAAAAAAAAAAAAAAGGACACAGGAAAATTATGTGAAATTCACATTTCAGTGTCCACAAAGTTTTACAAGGACATTCCTTTGTCTCTATGTTGTGTGTGGCCACCTTAGCGCTGCAGTGAGAGGAGTAATTGCACCACAGAGCCTAAAATACTTGGTATCTGGCCCTTTATTAAAAATTTGCCAGCCTCTGCTACAGGGGATGTTGTGCACTTTGTTTTACTTCAAATCAGAAGTCACGTAACGTTTAGTTCTTGTCTGAGTCCACTGTCGGCCCTCTGAACTGTGTGTTGTTTTTCATCTACCTTTTCACCTAATGGTTTTATCATCCATTTAAAATTACCATCAATTTTTTAATCATTTATTTAAAATTATCATATAAGTTGGGAATTTTATTAAGTTTCAAAATGATGTTTTTTCCCCACCTCATTTTGTTTACATCTGTCGACTGACATTCTTCTATAAAATGGGGCTTACTGGGCCTCCCCTGGTGGCGCAGGTGGTTGAGCGCAGCTCTGTGAAGCTGTCCGCAGCCTCTGCAGCACTGGTTCAATCCCAGCCGGCCAGGGAGATTCCCACATGGCACTGCAGACCTCTCCTGTCTCCCGCTGCTCCCCTCAGCAGTGTATTTCAGTCAGTTTGCTTGTTCTGTTCCCCACTCTGTCTCTGGTGAATCCTCTCACCTGCTCACATCTCTGGCCTGTACCCTGGTTCTTGTATGCATGTATAAATAAATTAAAAAAAAAAAAATGAAGTGGGGCTTACTACCTGGGGCTTTTTAGGCAACTGAAATAAGTCCCTCTGGAAAAACCCACTCATTACAAAATTCTTTGTTTTTAATTACTGATGTTAAAGCCAGACAAGTCATTGTTATTTTAGATCTCTGAATAATTTGTGCATTCATATAATTCAAGATCTAAAAATATAGAACGTATACTAAGGAATTCTTCCTTTTACCTTTGTCCCCCACTCCTAGGGAAGCCCCTGTTATTAGATGCCTCAAGTATTTCATATATATTTATATTTCATATATTTATATTATATTTCATATAATATTATATTTCTTATAATATTTCATATTATATTAGCAAATTCATATATATTCTTCTACCCCATCTTTATATGATAAGTGATAGTGAACATTACACACTGCTCTATATGTCTCTCTTTTGTACCTTAACAGTATACTTTGGCGAGCTTTCATATCATCAGTCCATAAAGAGCCTTCACATTTTTAAAACTGCATCATTCCACATCTCTTACTGACAAATACTTAGCTTGTTTCCAATTTCCTGCTAATGGACAGATGAATTATTTTTTATTTATTTATTTATTTTTAAAAATTTTTTAAAAGACTTTTTTTTAAAAGATTTATTTTCATTTATTTATACAAGCACTGGGTGCAGTGAGAAGTGCAGGAGGGTGAGAGAATTCACCAGAGCCAGAGCGGGGAGCAGAGCAGGCAGATTGACGAAACACATTGCTGAGGGGAGCAGCGGGCGGCAGGAGAGGTCTGCGCGCCATGTGGGACCCTCCTCCGGTGGCTGGGGAGCAGCCGGGGATCGAACCGGCGTTGCAGAGGCTGCAGGCAGCTTCGCAACCCAGCGCTCAACCGCTGCGCCACCGGGGAGGCCCTGGACAGATGAATTATTTTAAATGAATAAGAGGAGCAGAAAGGTAATATACGTTTCTCATCCTAAGGCATCCATCCCACTCTCAAGGGCCTTCTGCAGAGAGAGGCCTCCCAGCACTCAGTGACTTCTGCTTGGGTGGTGATGATTGTATCCAACGAGCCCCCTGTGAGAAATGACAGACCTTGGAGGGGTGGCAGTGTTCTTCCTAAAGAAGACTGGGGGGGGGAGGGCTCTACCAAGCCTCCCCCACCCCCTACCGTCATTCTTCCAATATCCTTGTGAAAACAGTAGAAAGAAAGTGTCTACTCATTTTGCAAATAGTTGCATGAAAGACTTTTGCTCTCTAGTGGGTCTCCAAAGTCTTTGGAACACCCTGGGAATCTTGGAAAGGAAGGTGGAAGTTTTCTGTGCTCAGGAAAGGCAGTGTAGAGAGGCTGAGCTCCCTCCTTTTGAGGATGGGATGGTGGCCCTGGGTCCCCATGGCAAGGATGTGTCTTGGCTCCTCTTCTTTCAGGCCATTCAGCAAGGGACCATCCAGTGCAACTTTGCTGGCGTTGCTTTGGGTGACTCCTGGATCTCTCCTGTTGGTAAGTATGGGGTTTCTAAGCATTTCTTTACTCATTTTTCCCATTCTTCCCTGGGATGTGTAGTCCAGATCAAAGAACAATACTATAATCCCAAGTCCTTGGAGAAGTCAGCACAGAAAGTGCCCCAAGAGCATCTGAGAAAGTTGAGGGTGAAAATTCATTTAAGAACCTACTATGTCCTGCATTGGCCTAAACCAAGTTCTCTTATTTGATTGTCACAGGAGTCAGGTTGAATATACTCTTTTTTTAAATAAAGATTTATTTATTTATGTATACAAGAGCTGGGGTGTAGGCTGGGTGGGAGACATGGTGAGAGAATTCACCAGAGACAGAGTGGGGAGAACAGGCGGATTCACTGAATACACTGCTGAGAGGAGCAGCAGGCGAGACAGCAGAGGTCTGCGCCATGTGGGCCACTTCCCTGGCCAGGGATCGAACTTGTCACCTCCCTGACTAGGGAGCAAACTCATGCTGCAGTGGCTGCGGATTGCTTCATAGTGCTGACGCTTAACCCCTTCCGCCACCAGAGGGGCCCCTGCAATTGAATATATTGTAAAGAATCAGAGATATTATGGAATTTTCCCTCTCACACAGAATGAGTAGCCTGTTGGGGTTTGTCATCCTCTCCCCTTTGCCACCCTGATGTGCTATGTGCATTTGGGGCAAAGTCCCCACCCGTTGTTCATGTTGATGGTGAGACCAGGTTGGAATAGGTCCTCAGGTTCTGTTTCAAAACTTGAGCATCCTTGTTGAGAGTACAGACAAAAGTTGTTTATGTTGTAGGCATATCAGGGCATGGCTTTAGACATCTGAAATAATCACTTTGGTGGAGTTCACTCTAACACAGGATTTCTAAATCCCTGCACCATTGACATTTTGAGTCATATGGTTATGACCTGTGATGTGATTGTGCTCAGTTTTAAAAGACAATTGTTTATAAAAAGGTAATATTTTCCCCCTAAAAGATAAGGATGTGGCTGGTTGTAGAACTGAGTCCCAAACAGTTTTAGGATACTCTGATGCTACTTGGGTTGGTTATTTCCTCCAGCATTCTTGCCATCTCCAAGGAAGGACTGAAATGGCATAACTCTGCCATTTCTGAGCTAGCTTTTTGAGAAGGGCTCCTGCTTATTTGTCCTCCCTAGCTAGACCTCCTGGAACATCATGAAGCAGCAGATGACCTGATCAGAGGCACAAAGGTACAGAGGTTTCTTGCCAGGTGTCTCACTCAAAATTATAGCACTGGCCCTCACACCTCCTCGTGTGGTCTCATCGCAGTTTCATAACAGCACTAAGTACTTTGCATGTGTTAACTTTATTTAATTCTTATAACAACTCACAGGATGGATGCTGTTATTATTCCAATTTGGGAGATGATGAAATTGAGACTCAGAAAGGTTAAGCAATTTTCCTAAAGGCACACAGCTAAAACCAGGATTCAGAGCCACCTGCAAACACTGGAACCTGTGCACTTAACCATTACACCAGAAAACTCCCAGGAGACCAGTAAGCTTTGCCTCGTGGCTTAGCAAGTTGTTCATCCTGTGCAAAATCTATCTTGCCATGACCTACTTCTTATGAATCTTTCCACTCAGATCTAATCCCTTCTTCCGCAACCAATTTAAATGCCATTCATCTATCCTAGCAGTACTTGCTTTTTGAGGGAGAAGTGCATTTAATTTTTGTGAACAATTAACTGCTTAGTGGGTAGTTGGTATTGTGCCAACTGATAGGTGAGATAAACTGACACACTCATGTCTTTAAAAGTCCTACAATGTTCAGTAGGGCAGCAATAGCCACGAGTGACTACTAAATTAAAAATGACTCAAAATTTCCAGTCTTTCAATTGCACCATTCACATTTCAAATGCCTAGTAGCTACATGTGGCTCTTGGCTACTTCAGACCACACAGATACATAGAATATTTCCATTGTTGCGGAAGTCCTATTATTGAACATTTCAGGTCTATAGAGGTCAGCAAACTATAGCCTACAGGTCAAGTCTGTCTTGCTCCTTGCTTGGGTAAATAAGTTTTACTGGGACAGTCACATCCATTCATTCACGTCTTGTCTGTGGCTGTTCAGAGGATACAGCAACAGAGTTAAGTAGTTGGGACAGAGACTTGCAAAGCCAGGAACACTTAATATTTGTCTCTTCACAGAAAAGGTTTGTCAGTGCCTGGTCTAGGTGAAGCAGGGAATAGGATACATTAGAGAATTGCAGATTATTCTGTAGTTTAACAAACTAAGGTACCAGCCTGATAGGTAATATGCACCGATGAATGGAAGCTAGTCCTGGAGGACCTGGTATGCCTGCATTTCTCAGTGTTCTCTGAATACAATTCCAATGAGGTGTTATACAAAGGACTGTGTGGTCAAATAAGTTTGGGGAATGCTGAATACTGGCTGTACCTCTTTGAGGGTCACAGGTACATTAAAGGTTCTGAGAAGTCCCGCAGTAAAGAAATGTGTTATATTTTGCATAACCCCTAAGATAATTAGCTGGAAAAATCCATTTTTCTTCTGATTCTTAGATTAAAAACCTGCAGAACTGAAGTTATTTGGAACCTATTTTGAGCTAGTCAACCTCAGTGAGCCATTGAAAGCTTTGAAGCAAAGGAATGGCATGCCTTTTGCACTTGATGAACTGTGGTCCTTGGTTCATTGCTGGCGCATCTTTCAATGCACTAGGCTTTTCCTAGTGTCATGGTGATTGTTCATCTGTCTAAACCAAGCCCAATTCTTTGAGGGAAGGCATTGTCTTACTCATATTTATGGCCTCTAAAACTCCTTGCTAGCTTTAGTAAATTCTCAATTTATTTGTGAAATAGAAATGAATCATTGGCAGTATAGCCAATGATTTATAAAATCATTTGTTAATTAACTAGGCAGAATATAGTGACTCCAAATGGGAGGCACAAACAGGATGCAGAACAGAAATATGAGGGCGGGGAAATATTTTAAGCCATCAAAAGGAAAAAAGAAAACCTAGAAGTCTGCAGGTAAGAGCTCCACCTGCATACACACTGCCTACCATCACTGGCTGGGACTTACCTGCTAGGCCAGTATCAGGCAAAATTAACATGCCATTACGCCTGAGTCAACAGAAAGGCACCTACCCTCCTCCCACCTCCCAGCCACCAAGACTGTCTCCTCTGTGGGCTCTAGTGAGTAAAGGAGCCTGCAGACTCAAAACCACTGGGTCTCTTGCTTCTGTCTTTGCTTTGAGGATGAATGGTAGGTGTTTCTTTTGAAGGACAGAGGCATGAAAAACTTAACTTGTGATTTCCTTTAGATTCGGTGCTCTCCTGGGGACCCTACCTGTACAGCATGGTAAGTTGATGGGTCTTCACCTCTGTACCCTCCTGCCCCATGATAAACAGTTCAGCTGACCTCTCCTGGCTCTGTCCCCAGGCAGGAAGAAGCGAGCTGAGCTTCAGCCCATGAGGCTGGCACTGCTCCTTAGGGAATAAAATTGGAGACCCAGGCGACTCTCCTGCCTGCCTGTAACTATGCAAGTGCCTTTTTCTTTTTCCTTTTCCTGATTAACTTGTTCTTTTAAAATGTAAAAAAAAATTGGAGACCCTAAGCAACAGCTAACTTTGGGGACAGTTACCCTATTTCTTAAGGCACAAGAAACACAAATTTCTAAGCCCTCCCAACTTTTTATTATAACAGTTTTCAGGTATATATGCAGAAAAGTTGAAAGATGCCTGTGAACACCCACATACCCACCATCTCCAGTCAGTTATTTTGCTGTATTTCTTTCATTGTAACCGAGTGGCTTGCAAGGAGAGCCTCCTTCCTACTCTTTCTGTTACCCATCCCTAACTGTAGCAATGCCAGATGTGTGTCTCTAAGCCAGATGGGCTTTTTATACCTGGTTTTCCTTCCAGTCTCTTCTCGATGACCAAGGACTAGCAGAGGTGTCTCAAGCTGCAGAGCAAGTCCTGGATGCCATAAATAAGGGACGCTACAAAGAGGCCACAGAGCTGTGGGGGGAAGCAGAAAATGTCATTGAACAGGTAAGGGGGACAGAGGCACAGCCTGCATGTCTTCTTCCCATGGGTGGAAGGCCCTGCTTGGTGGTATCAGGAATAGGATCCATCCTGAGTCTCCCTACCCTGGAAATGATTACATGCCAAATGATAAACCTGACAGGCCTGAGGAATGACAGTGCCTGGGAGACTTGCTTGTCCCTTGACTAAATGTGGATTCTCAAAGAAACATGTGCCTTACAGGGGTGGGACCCCTTATTGGGATCCTTGCTGACCCCAGTGAGCCAGGAAGATGAATGCACCGGCTGAGGAATTCCTTGGGTAGGACCCTCCCCGGGTCTGTCCTCCCTGGTATTCTTGTGCAGCGTCTGAGCAATGCTGGTGCAAGCTGCTCACAGCCCCCAGGAGACTAGGCTGACACAGCTGGACATAGCACCTTCAGCGCTGCCTTTCTTTCTGGTCTCAACAACTTTACAGAGTTAAAGCTGCCCAGAGTTAAAGACAGGCCAGGTGCCTTTCCGGTTTGTAACAATGATCATCAATCAAGAAGAAAGTGCCTTATATATTTCTCTATTTCAGAACACCGATGGGGTGAACTTCTACAACATCTTAACAAAAGACACACCCATGTCGGCAATGAAGTCAAGTCTAGAATTCACCCAGAGCCACCTAGGTGAGTGAACCCTGTAGTTGTTAGACTGGCTCAGATTCTAGGCAACAGGAAGCCAATCTTGCTTTTAAGTTTCATGATATATAGTTTACATGCCATAAAATTGACCCATTTTAAGTGTATTGTTTTTTCGAATATTCATGGAACTGTACAGTTACCACCACAGTCCAGTTTTAGAATGTTTCCGTCGCCTCAGAAAGACTCAACATGTCTGTGTGCAGTGGATTCTCTTTCCCATTTTAGCCCCAGGCAAACACTGATCTGCCTTCTGCCCTCCAGATTTGCCTTTTCAGGACATTTCATGTCAGTGGAATCATGGAATAGGACGTCCCTTGCCTCTGACTTCTTATGTTTAACCCAGTGTTTTTGGAAACCAGCCTCTACACACCAAATTGCCACATCAACCCTCCCAAAGGCTGGGTTGAGTTATCTTTCAGCTGACCCAGCTTCTCTGTTGCCACTGCGTGCCTGGCCTCCTCCTTCCTTAGAGGGGTATAAAGGCTTTAGGTGCCAGCATTCACCTTTCAGCTGATTCCCGTTGGCTGTGCTCAGTGACTCTCAAAGTACATAAAAATGCAGCAATCAAAATTAATGCCACTTTGCTTTTCAACATGTTTATGACTTTCTTCCTCCATCTGGGGTGTATGGAGGTGATTCTTTTCATTCTTCCATCTGAAAGTCACCCTCTTATACACAGCATCTCCAGCATTTGGAAAGGATACCTTCTTGATCTTCCTTCCAGCCTTTTGACTCACTGTGTACCAGTTTGTTTTAGTTCATCTTTGCCAGCGCTACGTGAGACGCCTACACCAAGATGCCTTAAGTCAGCTCATGAATGGTCCCATCCGAAAGAAGCTCAAAATCATACCTGAGGATTGCTCCTGGGGAGGTACTTATGTGAGCTAGTTAAGTCACTGTAGGTGACTTAATTAGTAGGGGGTAAAGAGAGGTGCAAAGCTTCTTAATTTGTAGAATGGGTTTTGTTGGTGGAAACTGTAGAACAGTCGTTATTATCCACATTTTGTAGAAGTACAAACAAATATAGAAGCAACAGATACAAACCATATTAGTTCAACAGGAGGGGTTGGTAGGGCAGAGAAATGAAGTGATTGGTTATGAGCTGATATTTTTTGGTTACATGGGCGTCATCACATGCTTTTAAATCAGTCTGCAGTTATCTGTAATAAAAGGTTGAAATAAAAAAGGCAGGCCCAAGCTGCAGTCTATTGGGGGTGTGACTTCCAGCAAAGGTCCCTTGGGCAGATTTTGTGCAGCTCTGGCCAGCCTTCCCAAGCATCCTGATGCTGGATGTGGCCTGGCTCCCCTGCACTCTAGTCTGAAGGTCAAGGGCTAGGGCTGGGTTGAAATCTCGGATAAGTTCCTGCTCAGTCCCATAGGGACATCTTGAGCAATCGGGAGTTCCTGGTTCCCAGAGGAGAAATCATCCAAATTGGGGGAGTTTCATTTGTATCTGAGATCTCCAAAGCTATGGTCATTAGTCCATTCTCAGGTGGCCCTGTGACAATGGCTGAGAAGCTAAGACTTGGCTCTGGCCCTGAGTTTGTCGTGGGACACAGGCTCTTATCTTACCTGTACTCAGCAGAGGACTCATCCTGGGCCTGGTGTCTTCATATTCCCCTCTCTCCTTTAAGTTTTCTAGAAAGGAAGAAAAGGTGGATTAGAGTAAGTTAAAATACAGTGTCGGGCCTCCCTGGTGGTGCAAGGGGTTAAGCACCGCGCTATGAAGCAATCTGCAGCCTCTACAGCATGAGTTCAATCCCTGGCCAGGGAGCAACCCACATGGCTCAGCTGAATCCTCTCACCCCTCACACCTCTGGCCTGTACCCCAGCTCTTGTATGCATAAATAAATAATTTAAAAAAAAAAAATAAAATACAGTGTCAAGGCTGAAGGGGTGCATGCAGCCGTGGGGAGCTGTGGCATAGAGAAAAAAGATGTGAGGTCCAGATGCAGTTCAAAGGAACACATTTTTCTAGCTCAACCCCTTCATTTTCTCTTCATGATAGTGTTTTCCAGGCCCAGCTTCTCAGGTTTAATGACCCTCCCTGTCCAGTGTGGTTAGACAGGGAAGGGGACTCCACTTTGCAGATGATGACTGATAAGAGAAAACTGTATGACTCATCTGTCTGTGGCTCCAGATGGGTCTGCATATGGTCTGGAAAGGAGAAACTGACCTTGGCCAATACCCTCAGTGTCTTGAGTTTCAATCTGTAATTAAGCACATATACTTTGAAGTCATCCAGACCCGTGTTCGTATTCCAGCTTGCCATCAACTAGCTGTTTCACCCTGTGTGTGTTTCTTAGCCTCTCTGAGCCTCATTTTCATTGCCCATTGCACAATTAGGACTGCCTCCCAGGGCAGTGATGAAGGGGAGATGGTATGTTGCTCATAAAGTACTTGCTTAGTACACTGATTGGCAAATGAAAATAAGGGCAGCTGCTATTGCTATTGTTACTCAGTACTGTGATGATGATGATGATGATGACAATGATGGTGATGGCCAGGAATCCAGCAGGAATGCCATGCTGACCATTTCTCTTGCCTGGGGCTGGTCATCACATGGCTTTGCTGAGGGCAAGCTCTGAGTTGGTTTGCTTTCATTTGGTATATAACTAGGGTGACCCCACTTGTTCATAACTTAAACTTGGCCCTGGCATTGCTCAGCAACATTGACCCCAAATCACAGTTTGTTCCCTGAGAGCAAAATCCTCTGTAGTGTTTTCTGAACCTCCCTTCTTCCTTGGGCTGTACACTTCTATGGGTTGCAGTTTCTCATGACAAGTGGCAATTGCTGTCATCATTAGCTCTTGAGTGAACAGAGCACATGTCACGTTCCCTTTTACACGACCAACTCCAGGCAAGCTCTAGGCCAGTTGGTCCCTGTTGGTGAGGCACCTGTATTCAGTCTTAGGGGTCACGTAGCAGTTACTGACAGACATCAAGCTGCTCCACCTTTTTCCTTCTCCATGTGCAGCCCAGGCCCCCAACGTCTTCATAAACATGCAGGGGGACTTCATGAAGGCGGTCATCAGCATTGTGGATGAGTTGCTGGAAGCCGGCGTCAATGTGACTGTGTATAATGGACAGCTCGATCTCATCGTGGACACGATGGGTAGGTGCCTGCCCTGAGTGGCACCTGGAGGCAGTTGCATGGGGAGGGTACTGGCCTCAGATACATCAGTCCTGTGGCTGGTGACGATGAAATGCCAGTTGGGAGGCTATCTCATGTTCTGTTCATCTAACCCTGACCTTGACTCTCTGAGGAGAGAGGAGTTGCCTTAGCCAAGAAGACTGAGTCCTTCCATCTTTTAAAGCCATTCAGGCATGATTAAAGAAAAGAACAATACCTATACTCACTTTAAATTTTGTGGCCATTGAGGAAATACACTATGTAATTGAGGGGAAGCTTCATTTTTGTGCATTGTTACAGTAGGTGGTACACACAGCAAGGTGAATAATAACTAACCCTTTACGGCTCTGTTACCCAAGAGACCCTGGGAAATGGTGTTTGTGGAGTCCTTGTCATCCCAGCTCCCACCGTGTGCTCACTTCTGGCTTCCATAGGGCCAGGTAGAGGCAGGTTCTCAGAACTGGCAGACAGTTGAGGCACATGGTGTCAGGGGTATGATGTGCAAGTCAGCAGGACTGAATATTTTTGTGACTTGCAAGCCCAGGGCACTAAGGACAATATAAAGACATTCTGTGTTTCAACCTTGAACTGCCCGAGTGATCCCCCTTGGCGTTTTTGCACCCTTGAGACTTCTCCATCCTGCTGGCCCTGTTGCTTTCCGAGGTCCCCAATTTCGTTTGTACGGGGCATAGGCATTGAGGTTGTCAGGCAAAAATAGGCACATATCATAGCTGTTAGATTTCTCCTAGTCAGCCTGGGTGTTACTGGGAGCTGGTCAGAATTGCAGGGCCTCAGACCCCACCCAGCCCTAATAATCCTACTAACCCAATTTTTCATTTTAACAAGATCCCAGGTTGACTATTATGCATATTTCAATTTGGAAAACGCCAGGGTATGGGACTAGATTTTTCCATTCTATATAGCTGTTAATGCATGGCCCTTCTCTGTCCCTCTTGGCAGGTCAGGAAGCCTGGGTGAGGAAACTGAAGTGGGCAGAACTGTCTAAATTCAATCAGCTGAAGTGGAAGGCCCTGTACAGTGACCCTGAATCTTCGGAAACATCTGCTTTTGTCAAGTCACATAAGAACCTGGCTTTCTACTGGATTCTCAGAGCTGGGCACATGGTGAGAGAATCAGCCAGGCTATAACTCACTATAACTCACTGAGGAGGAAGCCACAGGCAATGGATTATGCCTGTGTGCACTGCGGAGGGAGTGGTGGTGGTGGTGGGGGGGTCTTAAACATGCTCTGCAATGGGGCAAGTTTCAAGGTCTCTAATGAAATTCTGCTACTAATACTTTATTCATCTGAGGCTAGAAACTCTCATTTTAGTGAGCAAATCCTCCCGAGAGAGTTAAGCTGGGATCTCTTTTCTTTTTTCTTTAATTTTTTTTAAAAGATTTATTTATTTATGCATATAAGAACTGGGTTACAAGGCCAGAGGTGTGGATGGTGTGAGGATTCACCAGAGACAGAGTGGGGAACAGGACAGGCAGACTGACTGAAATGCACTGCTGAGGGGAACAGCAGGCAAGTCTGCAGCGCCATGTGGGTTGCTCCCTGGCTGGCCGGGGGATCGAACTGGTGCTGCAGTGGCTGCAGATTGCTTCATGGGTTGTGTCTTAACCCCTTGCGCCACCAAGGAGGCCCTCTTTCCTCTTTAATTTAAATGAACATAACGGCATATTCTTTTTAACAGTTTTTGTTCCAAGGGAACAGTTTGTCCTGCGAAAAGAATAGGGAAATTGTCTTGTCTTGCCATTTTCAGGAAGTGAAAAGGAAAGCTTGGTTCACTGTAAAACTGAGTTGCAGGGGGTGGGAGAGGTGAGGGATGTTTCAGAGCTCCGGTGGCTCCAGAATGTCAGTTCAGAAGCTTTGGGTCGAAAGATGGGCAATGAGACTCTACCACCCCTACATGTACAGAGCGAACATTCTCTTTTTACCTTACAGGGTATGTTGACTGAGTGGCTTTACAGAAACTGAAGGAGATTATGGAGGGTTAAATCCACCCCCCACCCCACACACACACCCCTACAAAGGAGCCAAAGGGAGGAGTTGGCAGAAGGCAGGAGGCTCCACTCAGATGCTTCCTTTGTGGTCACGCTTTGGTCTGGAGGCACTTAAATTCAGTGTCTTTCCTCCCCAGTATTGTGGTTTCCTGGGGGAGATGAATTGAGACATTAAGGTGCCCTCTGGCCTGCCATCTGTCTTTGGCTCCATGTTCCTAGGACAGAATTTCTTTAGAGAAAAGGCTTGAGGGAGCACTCTGGCTGGAAAGTGGGCCTAGGAGACTAGTCTTACAGCTCTTGGCACAGCAAGCACATAGGGTTTTTACTTGGCTGGTTGAGGGGCTGAAGGAGATTGGGGTGAAGACAAAAGTGCCTTGTCCACATGCCACTCCTTAGGGCTATTAATTGTTCTCAGTTGGGATGTCCCCACCCTGAGGACCTTGGCAAATCTGGAAAAATTTTGGTTGTTACTTGAGGGACTGTGCCATTGGCATCTAGTGGGTAGAGGCCAGGGATCCAGGACACATCTACCATGCCCAGGACAGCCCCCAACAATGGAACTGAATACCCAAAAGTCAGTGGTGTCAGGGTTGAGAAACCCTGATACAGAGGAAAGGGGGAGCTGGGGTATTTGATAGACTCACTCTGGCAATACTTAGGTGTCTGGCCAGGGACAACTTATTATTAACCTCCCTGACCTTCAGTCTTAAGAACTTCCTAGAAACGGAATGTTGCAAGCTTTAAGAGAAACCAGTTTCTCTTTGGTCCTTTTGTTTAATGACCAAACATTTGAATGTCTCTGTAGCTGCTAATCACTGTCCCAGGTGCTGGGAATGCAAAGTGGAAGTAACACCAGCTCTGTCCTCCAGGAGTTCAAGGGCCAGCGGGGCAGACAGGCAAAGAGACTCTTAATAACAGCCGAGAAATGCTAAGATGGAGTTGGCCAGGGAAGGGGACCCAGCCTAGGCCTGGGGACCTGGAAGAGTGGCCGTGAATGATGGGCAGGAATTAGCTAGGTAGGAGGAGAAGGTGTGAGAGCAAAGAGAGCAGTGAGTATGGGTCCAGAGAGGCCTTGGGACAACTGAGGCCTTAGAAGGGTCACTGGGGAGAGGAGGCTGTTAGGGACCCTGCATACCACCTTGAGGAAAACAACGGGTGCCACAGAAGAGGTTTTAAGTAAAAGTATAGAAGTATCAGATTTGTCTGGTAAGAAGAAACAACACTCTTGTTGTCAAGAAACAACACTCTAGCAGCAGAAAGCATGGAACAGAACTGGGCCAGAGAGCCGATCTGAGCGGTTTTTATAGGAATCTAGAGAAGGAGCAACAAAGGGATCTGATGGTGTTAGATAAAAATTGGCAGGACTTGGTAACAGCTTGCCTGTAGAACAGTAAGTGGGGTGTCCATTAGTCAATTCAGTATATGAGTTGTGTGTATCCAGAGTCAGATATTTATCCTTGGCAGTAGAGATTTGGGAGTCAGGTATAGAAAAGTCTGGGGACAGTGTCCTGGTTCACCAGTATTTAAGAGACAGGAGGCAAAAGAAAGATCCTAAAATCAGAGTGGAGAAAGGAACAGCCAGAGAAGCAGGATGGAGACCAGGGCTGTGCGACTTTTCCAAAGCAGAGAGGACCCAGTAATGTGAGTGCTGCTGAGAGGGCATACAGGACTGAAACGTAAGCAGTCATTTGGTCACAAACAATGTTTGTAGTAACCATGGCAAGCATTTTTAGTGGAATGTCGGGCTTAGAAGCCGCATGGGAAGCCTGGAGCAAATGAATGAGCAACGACAGCAAGAAGACGACAACTTTAAGAAACTAGAAGGGGGCCTCCCTGGTGGTGCAAGGGACACAACCTATGAAGCTATCCTCAGCCACTGCAGCATGTGTTCGATCCCCGGCCAGCCCAGTTCTTGTATGCATAAATAAATAAATCTTAAAAAGAAGAGACCAGAAGGAAGTAGTCCACTCTTTAAAGAAACTTGATCTGGAGAGAGAATGAATAAGGCAGCAGGACATAGGGTTTAGAGGACATTATGTTATGGCTCTAAGTATCTGAGTTCCTTCAGTATCGATTGGGGAAAAGCTAGTAGGAAGTTGTGGAGCACAGCATTATTACTAAAGAGGGGTCCCTGCAGAGGCCGGTAGGAGGGGAAGGGGGGAGCTAACCACAAGCTCACTCATTTCCTCTTGGTTTGTCACAGATAGAACAAGAGATCTGTTGGGGGCAGCCTTAAAATAGCTCTTAGAGTCTGTTATTAAAGCATCCCCCAGCGGCTTCCCCTTTAGCTGATTAAATGTCAGTTTAGTCAACCCCACCGAGCCTGAGCCTCTGGGAACCCTGCTTAGCAGCAGAGTCCAGGACAGGATTGAGCCACAGGGAATCATGGAACCATTGGAACTTCAGAATTTGGAGCCATCTATTGTTCAACTCCCATCTTTATAAAGGAGAAACTGAGGTATCCTTTTGATAATATAGGGGAAGGAGATTTTTTAAAAGGACTTATTCTAAAACTCTGGGGGGAAAACAGAAGAAAATTAAATAAGCATACAGAAATTGGAGTGCCACTCAAAGGGTCTCATTTGTATTTGTTTACCTATTTGCTGTTAATTTCCCTCTCAGCTTGTTTTTGACTCCATTCCCAGTCTGAGGTCCCTCCTACTACACAGGGAATACTTAAACTTATGTCTAGAATCTTCCTTCTCCCTTGCACTAGCTGGGTTATAGTTACACAAGCACAGCCCTCCTAAAGAAATCAACACATCAGCCCCAGATGAAGTAGAAGGATTTTTCCTAAATGCAGACCTGTCAGGCCCCTGCCACCCAAACATACTTGGTGCCCAGAAGAACTTTTGCCCAGCACAGGGGTCATTTCATAGAAGGGACTCTCTTTAAGGGATGCAGCCAGGCATAGCTGTCCTCCCAGGTGACCATCAGAGTTGACTCTTCCTGGGAGCAGGGTCTCGGGATGCACCCTGAACCCAGCACCAGCAGAACAGGGAGCACTAACTTGGGTTCTGCTTGGTTCTAGGTTCCTTCTGACCAAGGGGAAATGGCTCTGAAGATGATGAGGCTGGTGACTCATCAAGAATAGGATGGTCAGGCTGCAGGTGAGCTGAAGGGGCCTCAGGGCACAGGTGCTGCAGCGAGCGCCCGAAGCTGTGGGCACCATTCTCCTCTTGAATCTGACTTGGGCTGTGATTGTGAGGCTTCCTGTCAGCTTCCTCAGAGAATGAGCACATTGCCTCTGTGGCAACTTGGAAATCATTTCTGCTTCTGAACAAACCTAAGATTTTTTTTAATGGATTTGTTTTCATCAAAATGAAGGGTTGAAGTAGATTTATTTTATCTTATTACAAAATCAGATTATGTGATTTGTAGAAAAAAGGGGAGACGGAGAAAAATAAATGCCCATGTACTCCCGCCCCAGGGATAAACACTGTTACCTCTTTTAGTGTATATCCCTGCAAATTTTTTCTTTGCAATATATTATAGATGTTCCTTGACCTCTGAGGGGGTCATGTTCAAATAAACCCCTACTGTAAGTTGAAATTGCTTTTAGTACATCTAACCTACCAAACACCATAACTTATCCCTGTCGACCTTAAACAGGCTCAGAATACTTACATTAGCCTACAGTTAACCAAAATCATCTAACATAAAGCCTATTTCATAACGAGATACCGAGTTTCTCAGTAATTTATTGAATACCATACTGAAAGTGAAAAACAGTCACTGGGTGGGTTCTCACTATTAATACACACAGCTGGGTGCACATTGGACCAGAGGAGTGTTTGAACTAAAATGAAAGGCTGAATGATGGGGAGGCTACAGCAACAGGGACATCAGTTTCTCTCTTCTGATGACTCTCAAGACTAACTGGCTGAAGACACGGGGATGTCAGTGGTTCACTCTGGCGATCGCTTGGCTGCCTGGGGTCTGCAGCTCGCTGCTACTGCCCAGCATGATGAGAGAGTGTCATCCTACCTGTCACTCGCCCAGGAAAAGATCAATATTCAAAGTACAGTTTGTACTGAATGCATATCACTTTCACACCATCATAAAACCAAGAAATTGAAAGTTGAACTATCATAACTCTGGGACTGTCTGTACATACATATTTTTTATAAAAATGGAATCATCACGGTATGTAATTTCACCACCTACTTTGTTCACACATCAATATGTCCTAAACTGTTCATGTCAATAAATATTCTTCTATAACATTTTTAAGACTGTTGAGCATTCCATTTTATGCATATACCTTATCTTATATACCAAATGCCCAGTTGTTTCCTGTAAGCAACTTCTAGCCTGTTATCTTTGCAAACAATGCTCTGGTAATCATCCTTATTTGCTTACAATAAGTTGTTAAAAGTATAATTGTTCAAAGGAGTTAACAGTTCTTTAAATTAAATGAGCTTAGGAGTTTTCTTTTTTAATTCATGGCTCAAGTTCTGCATAAGGGGCCTGACAGCTGCTGTGAAGGCCCCCAAAGAAACATCCTCTCCTGTAGTGGCTGGGCTAAGGGTCTGAAAACCAAAGTCTGTTCCTGCAGAAGGTGAGGAAAGAGTAACAGCAGGTTATGCCTACATGAACCATAGGACTCTCAGAGGCAGGCGTCCTTGGGCAGGGCTGGTACACTCCAACTTCCCACAGTTTGCTTTTGAAAGGGGAGCACCCCTTGGTCCAGGACAAACATGAGAGACCTGTGCTGGATCCTGCTGAAGTTCAGTGCATATTGTTCTGCTTGTGCTAGATAACCTTTTCTGGAAAAAAATTTTAGCTATAACTAGTTACCGAGTCTGTGAGTTCTGACATTGAATTACAAATTAAACTCCCAATTTCAAAGGGTTTCTTTTGTTAGAATTTAGGGCACAGGTTGGGAATGAGTGCAAGTCTATACATGAGAATGGGTTATGTGGGCAGATTCCAGTGAACATAGGGACCCCAAAGTTTTTGACCACTATAAACAGCCTGTCCCCACCTGAGCAGGTTAATCTTTGGCTCTGAGATCCTCTAATCAAGTCCCAGACTTGCCCAAGGCCCTGCTTCTTGCTACATCACTTCCTCTCAAACCATACCCATCCTGCCTGAGAATTCCCTTTGATCAGTTTACCAGGAAGAAAAGTCAGGGGCTGGGTTTATAGATGGTTCTGTGTGGTTTGCATCCATCACCTGTGAGTGGACAACTGCAGCACCAGAGCACCTCCAGGACCCCTCTAAAGTGGTAGAGAGAAATCCTCCCCATGAACAGGACTTGGAGCAGTGTACTTTCTTGTTCATTTTTTCTAAAGGAGAGAGGATCAGAAGAATTTGGACCTGTACCAAATCATGGTTTGGTTAGGGCAGTCAGATTTGGAAGGAACACAAAAGGAAAATTGGTGATAAGGCCTGGAGGACAGGACAAGATGTGTATGTTCCACATGAGCACTCACCAAAGGATAGCAGGAGATTGTAATAACCAAGGTGGATAGGGTCACCTGTGGCTCTCAGAGCCTCTCTCTTCAGACCACTTGTGCGGACTCATGAACAAAATGGCTATGATGACAGGGATGGAGGTTATACTTGGGTTCAGCATCCTAGATTGCACTCACCCAGGCTGTCCCGGCTACTGCTGAGTGTTCAGTCTGCCCACAGAAGGAACAACACTGCGTCACAGATATGGCACCATTGCCTGAAGGTATAGCCAGCTACCCGGTGTTAGGTTGATTACATTGGACAACTTTCATTATGGGAGAGGCAGCATGTTCTTACTAGAATCGACACTTTCTTTGGATAGAGATTTGCCTTCCCTGCCTATAAGGCTTCTGGCCAAACTACCATCTGTGGCGTTACAGAAAGCCTTGTCCACTATCGTGGTATTCACAACAAATGAAATGCAGCAGGAATCCATATGCATAGAGTTCACTGGCTGCCCCATATTCCCCATCATCTTGAAGCAACTAACTGAGGTGGTTGAATGAATTTTGGAAGATTCCGCTACAGAGCCAGTGAGGTGGTGGAACCACAAGGCTGGGGCAGAGTCCTCCAGTATGTGGGATATGCTCTAAATCAGCATCTGTATTTCTCCCATTCCCTGGATTCGGGAGTCTAGGAACCAAGAGATAAAAATGAAAGCCACCCCTTTCATACTAACCTTAGTGATCCAATAATAAAACATTTGCTCAGGGCCTCCCCGGTGGCGCAGCGGTTGAGCGCTGGGTTGCAAAGCTGCCCACAGCCTCTGCAGTGCCGGTTCGATCCCTGACCACAGGGTGAGGGTCCCACATGGCGCGCAGACCTCTCCTGCCGCCCACTGCTCCCCTCAGCAGTGTACTTCGTCTGTCTGCCTGTTCTGCTCTCCACTCTGGCTCTGGTGAACTCTCTCACCCTCCCGTGCCTCTGACTATACCCAGTGCTTGTATAAAAAAATAAATAAATCTTTAAAAAAAAAAAAACAAAAGACATTTGCCCATAAATACATCCTTGCAGCTTTAGCCCCTGCTGGTGTAAGGGTCTTTGTTACAAAGGAGACATGTTTTCACCAGGAGACAAAGCAAAGTTTCCAATGAACTGGAACTTGAAGCTGCCATCTGGCCCTTTGGCATTGAATCAACAGGCAAAATACTGGCTGAGGTAAATGATCCTTACCACCCAGGGGAAATTGGTGTCTGTCACAAAGGCAGAGAGAGAGGAGGGCCGGGGAGGTCTTTGGGGCATCATGTAGTCCTCATATACCCTAGGTCAGTGGGAAACTACAACCCAATTTAGATTGCTAATAGCCCAGGCCCTTCACATAGTTCTGGGCAAGGAACTATGACCAACTGAGGTGCATACTGGGGGCAAAAAAATATGGAGTAGGTAGTAGATGGCAGTAGTTTTGCTGTGACCTTGTGACCAGTTATAGAAATGAGGACTCTAATAGTTACATTGCTTTAATGTGAATAGATTTTGATAAATATTAATCAAATATTTTTTTATCTCTTCTGTCATCACTTTATCATCTATCTAACTTAAGATGCGCTCAGAATAAATACCTACATTTAAGTATTTAAGTTACAAAATATCGTAAAGGAAATGTGAATCCGTTAGGGAAAGAGTGAATTTTATCTAAAGACAAAAAAAGTGACCCTGATGCTCTTTTTGGGAAAAGGTTAGCATGATCTTGCTTGTAAGAGGGACAGTTGTGTCATATTTCTTTCTTTTTTTTTTTTTTAAAGATTTATTTATTTATTTACTTATTTATTTATTATTTATACAAGCATTGGGTACAGTCAGAAGCGCGGGAGGGTGAGAGAATTCACCAGAGCCAGAGCGGGGAGCAGAACAGGCAGAAGGACCGAAGTACACTGCTGAGGGGAGCAGCGGGCGGCAGGAGAGGTCTGCGCGCCATGTGGGACCCTCCTCCGGTGGCCGGGGAGCAGCCGGGGATCGAACTGGCACTGCAGAGGCTGTGGGCAGCTTCGCAACCCAGCACTCAACCGCTGCGCCACCGGGGAGGCCCAGTTGTGTCATATTTCAACTTACGTGTGACTCCTTGATTGTCTTTGTTTGGACACTTAGCATGGTTTGAGAAAATGTGCGTGGGTGTCAGGTTGGTGAGGGCCGGCCTGTGGTGTCTTTGACATGTTTCAACTTGCTTAGGCCACATAACGTTTTCCAGAATTACCTTTTCCACTACTTCTGATTAGAATGACCCCACAAGTTTAGAGATTGTTGTAGATATTTGGGAGACAGAAATGAGGCAGAAGACATCTTAGCTCAAACATGCTGTCATTTACCTGCTGACTCAGTGCATTAGCAGCCTGCCCTGCAGCTACCCCATCTTCCCTCGGATAGTCCTGGACATCTGCCCCCTGGCAGGCAAGGAAGCTTAGTTCTGAGGTGGGGGACCCAACACCCACGGCTGCCCTCTGGACTCCATCTCATCCTGTGGGATTCGGATTCTACTTCCTCCTCTCTCCTTTGCATCTTTTGCCCTTCCCTGACCAGTTGCCCGTGTGCTTCAAACTTCAGCATGAGGGGCCTCCCTGGTGGCGCAAGGGGTTAAATCTCAGCACTATGAAGCTATCCGCACTCACTGCAGCATGAGTTCGATCCCTGGCCAGGGAGCTCACCCACATGGCGTAGCAGACCTCTCCTGTCTCTCCCACTGCTCCCCTCAGCAGTGTATTTCAGTCAATTCACCTGTTCTGCTCCCCACTTTGTCTCTTGTGAATCCTTTCACCCTTCACCCCCCCACCTCTGGCCTGTACCCCAGTTCTTGCATGCATCAATAAATAAATCTTCAAAAAAAAGTCAAAAACAAACTTCAGCATCAGATTTGAAGGAAACAGCCTGAGGAAGATGCTTTCCCAGCTCCCACACTGAGTCAAACCCCTAAAACACACAGATATGCATACACAACACCCACATGTGTGCACACTGCTGCTTCTCTGATGAATCCTGCCTAATGGAGTTATTTATAGATTTTTTTTAATGGATTCAAAGTTCCCCACAACTGGAATCTGCATTTTCGACAGTGCCTTCCTGTTGCCTACACATGTGAACAGTGACTTGCTCAAAATATTGGGCTCTGAGTCACACTTCCCCTGGTTGTTGGCATCTAATGTTGTTGAGACATCTGAAAGCAACTTGGCTTTTCCCCCCTTACTTTCAGAAACCATTTATTTGAATACCTTTATGTTGTATATTTCTTTGTTTAATTTGTGAATTGGTAACTTAAGACAGTGATGTAGATGTGATGTTTATGAACTACTTTATGAACTAAATATCCCGGGCTCAGATCGTCAGTTCATTAGTGTTTCCTGGCATGCATTTGAATATTTGAATATTTTCAAGTTCTTTTTCCTCCTTTCTTATTATGTAAGTTTTCAATCCAGGTCCTTTTAGTCAAGACTACTGTTACATTGCTACTTTATTTTTTGGGCAACTCTACACTGTAACATGTTCCTGTTTTCTGTAATTGTCTCTTTGCAATGCTATTTCACCTTATTACTGTTGTCTTCTCATCTGTTACTTCATTTCTCATTTCCTGAGCTCCGTGTTGGCTTTTATTTCCTTGAGCAAAGTGTTTTGTGTTGCCCAGTGCACACCTCCCTAGGAATGTTCCTCATTTTTTGTATTTTGTGTTAATTTCTTCCATTTTAATTGTGGTTCCTTTTCCACCCTTTCCAAGTTTATATTTTCCTCTTTTTATGCAAACATATTTTTGAATGAGGACAGTTAGATAATCATCTAATTCCCCATCCTGATTATCCAGTTATTTGTTAGATGTTCATGTTGTTCTCATTCAGGAAGAATAGATGTTGTGGGTCTACATGGTCTGTTTAGGCATTCAGCTGCCTAAGGGAGGTGAGTTGGGATCCTGGACAACTGGGAACTTATCTCCTGTGGCCTACTTGGGGAGGGTGTCCAGCCTATCAGTAGAAGCCCTGAGATTTTTTTGTTTCCTTATTTCAGGATAAACCAGCCACTTTGGTAAGAAGCAAAATTCAAGAGAAACCTAAGGACTCTACTGGATGGGCGTCCCAGTTAGCAATTACTACATAATTACCCAGAAATTTCACGACTTCAAACAAAATTTGTACCTGACAGTTTCCGTAGGTCAAAAATCTGGGCATGGCATAACTGGGTTCTCAACTTTAGACTCTCTCATAAGGCCAACATCAAGGTATTGGCCAGAACTGCAGTCATCTCAGGGCTCAATTGGGGAAAGAATCTGCTTCCAAGCTCACTCGTGAGGTTGCTGGCAAGATTCAGTCCTGCATAGGCGAACCTCTCCACAGGGCTTCTTGCTTCATCAGAACAAGCAGGAGAGGAGTCTGAGAGAGAGCACAAGCAAAACAGAGGTCACTGTCTTAGCCCATCACTTTGGCTTATTTTATTTTTTATTTTATTCAAAGACTTATTTATTTATGCATACAAGAACTGGGGTACAGGCCAGAGGTGCAGGGGGTGAGAGGATTCACCAGAGACAGAGCAGGGAACAGAACAGGCAGACTGACTGAAGTACCCTGCTGAGGGGAGCAGCAGGCGAGCCAGGAGAGGTCTGCTACGCCATGTGGGTACCTCTCTGGCCAGGGATCAAACTTGTGCTGCAGTGGCTGCAGGTAGCTTCACAGGCTGTGTCTCAAACCCTTGCACCACCAGGGAGGCCCTATTTTACTTTTTAGAAGTGAGTTACCAGGTCTCCCCCACACTCAGTGTGCAAGGCATTACATAACCGCATGAACACAGGAGGGGGACATACTTTTTCTCATTCATTCTCTTTCCTCATTTCAGAACAACTCCTGTTGGGGGCAGGGGCAGAGGAGAAAGTGCTCTCTTCATTCCCCATGCTCCTGGGTGGAAATGGGAAAATGGACCCATCAGGGCGTTGTAAGTTTCTCCTGGGGCTGCTTGACTTCCATTCCACCTCTCCAAGTGGGGGTGATATTCGTGGACCCTTTAAGACTTGCATCTATTTTGTATCACATTACTTTCCTGCTTTGAAAGGGGGAAGCTGTATCTCGAGCCCTCTCATCCTCTGGCAATTCAGTCCAGATTAGTTGAATGTTTGTTATATACTAAATGTTTTTATGGATTTTCACACCAAATTGCCCCAGCTTTCTGAGGCGAAGTACAATAATTACTGTCATTTTAAAGAAAAGAAAATGAGGACTTAGAAAGGTCATATAACCTTGTCGTGGACCCAATGTGAGTTGCAAATCCAGGATTTTAGTCTGTAACCAGCATACAAAATTTAAAATACTCTCGAACAAACTCCATAGTTGTTTAAGGTTGCATATTTGGAAAGAGAAAGAGAGCTTTCAAGTCATTCTGTCTTCATCGAAATTCCATTTGTCAGTTTGCTTCAATTGTGAATATAGTGTTGGATTCACTTTAATTATTTCTTCCAGGCACCATGCTAAGAGATTTATGACATTTATTTGTCCTAAGATATAGATTTAATTTTGTCCAGTTAGTAGATGAAGAAACTGAGATCTAGAGTTGTCAGCCCCAAGTCACACATTGAGTAAGAAATCCATCCCATGTACTTCTGCAAAGCTTTTTCTCCTTATTCTGCTTTTTTTGTCCATTTAATGCTTTTTACTTTATGCTCACTTTTTCAAATATGATTCTCCAAAGTCTTCCCACTTAGGTTCAAGTCCCTAAATAGACCAAGAAGACCTAATAGAAGTACATTATATCTCTTCAGCCAGATTGTATCTCTTCAGTCTCGCATTGTATCGCTCTATCCCAACCTCTTTTCACTGTAGTCATAGTAGAAGTTGGATTCTTTGAGAGGACCCTTTACTTGTATCCCTCTACCTTACCCAAGTTCTGAAATAATTGGGAAATAACACAAATGGAGCAGATAAGAAAATCAAAATAGGTTTTCTCTTCCTTTCTCTACCATCGAGTTGTGGGTGATGGATTATTCCTCACCATGTCTTCTCATGAACTTTCAGGATCAAGGGGTTCCTGGCCACAAAACAAAAGCAGAATTGTCCCATTCCCCAATGGATTCAGATGAAAACTGGTAATAAAATCAGGCACAACAAGAGGAAACACTGGAGAACAAACCCAGGTCCACAAGAGAAATGCATGTGAGATGGCAAACAATTTTATGCTGCATCAAGAAGGCTAGCACCTTGCCTTATCACACCAAAAAAGCACTGCTATTTGGATATGTTTGTTGACAAAGTTATTTTTCTTTTTGTTTGCTTCTGCACTAGTAGGTTGATTCAGTAATAAATTATTTATTCAGTAATAAATAATAAATGGCAGGGAGGTGGGGAGTAAGGAAAGAAAACCAAAATGGAAAGGAAGACATTGCTTAGCATTTGAGTCAAAATGCACTTGACCTTGGGCCAATCCCATCTTGACCTTGGGCCAGCCCATCCATTAAAAAGGGTGGAGTGTGTAGGATAAACATTGCCTCCCACTCAGCCCAGTAGAGAGGGAAAAAGAAAACCCAAATCCCCAAGTCAGTACCTATGTTAGATTGGCTCAGCCCAGTTAAGCAGTGCAGACCAATGCCTGGGACCCAATGGTGAGTACTGTGGGTTAGTTTTTCAACCTCTCAACTACCTCCATAGGTACCTCCTTGAAACCGAGGTCAGAAAACTAAAAACTCAGGGCCTGTACGCACAGGGAAAAAAACAGACTTTTCAGGACTAGAGACAAATATTATACTGCTAGTCCTGCAGAACTAGTGCGCTTATGGTGACCAACGCAAGAAATGTTACTTTGGGCTGGTCAACCGCGGGTGTAACTTGGAAACCACGCTGGGCGCCAAACTGTTGTAGAGCAACCCCGATACAAAACGGGGTGCCTGACTGTGGGTCCTCACCCGCGCGCTTAAAAGGACTTATCAATGCTCTACTGCAGGCACACGTGAAAGGTTAATAAAAAAGGTTTATTTACAAGGGAAAGGGAAATGAGGAAATGTACAGCTCTGGGAGAAAAGTGGGAGACAAAGTTTTAAATGAGTCCTACCCGATCCGCCGATCAGGAATCCCAAAATGGCGCTCTCAGAGTTGGCCGCCAGCCAGGAGTGGTGAAGCCAGGAGGCGAGCGATCGCGAGCCAGAGAGGGAGCAAGGCCCACGTGTCTGGTTTTTATATCCAACCTGGCTGCCCAACTCCACCCTCAGGTCCCAGCCACCCTCCCCTTGGTGGTGATGGGATTTGTCTTTCCCAATGTCCTGATGGCTTTAGTCTGGAGTGGGGGTGGAGTCCACAAAGCCTGTATGAGATTATCTCAGGACATCCTTTCCCCCTAACAGTGCAAGGGGTTAAGCACAGCACTGTGAAGCTATCAGCAGCCTCTGCAGCAGGAGTTCAATCCATGGCCAGCCAGGGAGATACCCATATGGCACAGCAGACCTCTCCTGTCTCACCCCTGCTCCCCTCAGCAGTATACTTTGGACAGTCTGCCTGTTTTGCTCCCCACTCTGTCTCTGGTAAATCCTCTCACCCCCTGCACCTCTGAACTGTACCCCAGTTCTTATATGCATAAATAAATCTTTAAAAAAAACACCAAAACTCTAGTCAGGCTCTGTTGTAGCAAGGTGAAGGTAAAAGTGAGATAGTGGTCCTTCTAAGTTTTTTGTTTGTTTGTTTTTCTGGTGAGTCAGGTTGTAGAAACACAAGATTTTCTGCAGTGTTATTTTTCTTTTTTTTTTTTAAGATTTTTTTTTCTTTTTTTTAATAGAGGCATGTTTTATTTCTTTATTTTATTTGTTTGTTTGTGTTTGTTTATACATGCACTGGGTACAGTCAGAAGCGCGGGAGGGTGAGAGAATTCACCAGAGCCAGAGCGGGGAGCAGAGCAGGCAGAAGGACCGAAGCACACTGCTGAGGGGAGCAGCGGGCGGCAGGAGAGGTCTGCGCGCCATGTGGGACCCTCCTCCAGTGGCCGGGGAGCAGCCGGGGATCGAACCGGCACTGCAGAGGCCGCGGGCAGCTTCGCAACCCAGCGCTCAACCGCTGCGCCACCGGGGAGGCCCCTGCAGTGTTATTTTTCTTGACTGAGGTTCCCTGGTCCCTGGCTTGCAACTATGAGGTCTAGGTTAAATCAGTATTTCTGGCTCAGAGCTACTAGCTCCACTGGTGGGCCAGTTTTCCCATTTCTTAGAGTCACTCCCAAGGGCCTTATCCTAGAGCCAGCTCTTCCCGTCCTTCCAGTATTTCCAATGGTGTCGTCAGCATTGGTACCTGGTAAATCCTTTCTTATCCAAGACATCTAGAGTGACTTCTAGTTCCTGCACTCAGTGAAACGGGTACATCAGATAACTCGCCATTCCTCACTGGGAGGATTATAAGGAAGTCAAAAGGCAAGACTCTTTAGGGAAGACTTAAAAACCAGAAACAGAGAAGAAACTCTTCAAACACCCACCACTGGACTTTTTGTGTGCCCATTTTCCTAAAACTCCTCTTGACCATTCTCTTTTAGCTACTTTCTTATTTATCTTCCAGGTCTCAGAAATTCTTCTCTGATCCCCACACTAGTTCAGACGCCCTCTTAATCAGGCTCATAACACTCCACCTGCACTGTGCAATCCTCAGTCTTCTTATAATTGTTTTTGGGTCCCTGGCACACAGTGTTTAGTTGACACGCTGTGTTGAATTCTAGGGTAGAAATGGAGGCATGAACACCAGGGGCCTCCTCCAAATCATGATGTGTAGCCCTGAGATGCATTCTTGGCCAACTTAGTTTGCTCTGTTGCAGGTACCAGCTCTGCCTCTTTTACTCTGGAATTTTAAGAGTCAATGATGATGCCCACTTTTTACCTGATCTGTTCCTGAAAATTTTGCCACATTTTCGAAATCTGACCTTATTTTTTGTTGTTGTTATTGCTCTTTACAGCTTTCTTGGCAGATGTGGCTCAGCAGAATTCTTGGAACCACTCCAGGTCTCTGGTAACCACCATTCTGCTCTTGGTTTTTATGAGTTCAGCTGTTTTTAAATCCCATATATAAGTGATATTGTACAGTACTTGTCTTTTTTATGCTTGTTTCAGCCTATTAATCAATATTTTGGTTCAGCTGGTCCTTGAAGTTCTTATTGCAGCAATAACTATCAAGAAAATTTGATTTATTACACACCAGGGGTCTCACACAGCGAGGTCATGGGCACAGAGGAAGATAGCACATATAGGTCTGGGGTGCTGCTTTTATTGGGGTTGAAGATGGTAGACTAGGGTTTCAATGGCTTACTCTTTATTGGTTAATTTAAAACATAAGAGCAAGAGCTATAGAAAAGGAAATAAAACTACAAGCGGCCCCCAAGTGGCCAGTTACATAAATCCACCAGGATGTGTAAAAGGAGCCTCACT